GACATGTATACACCAGAATTTCTTAATAATCTCTCGATCTCAGGGCTGCCTGATCATGAATTGCATCTAAAGGTTGGTGCCCCGATTATGCTATTGAGAAATATAAACTAACCGACGGGATTATGTAATGGAACCAGGTTGATTCTCACAAAAGCTCGGAAAACATGTACTAGAGGCAAAGATCATCACTGGAAGAAACATGGGGGGCACTGTTCACATTCCCAGAGTGCGGTTATCACCATCTGACATAACCCTGCCTTTTAGTTTTCAGAGAAAGCAATTTCCGATTATGGTATGCTTTGCAATGAGCATCAACAAGAGCCAAGGTCAATCTTTATCTCAGGTCGGACTATATCTAGAGAAAAATGTCTTCACTCACGATCAATTATATGTTGCCATATTGATAAAGTCCCACACCGGTAAATTGAGAAGCATTTGAGTGCTATATTAAGCTTCAGGCTACTCCTCCTAACAGGTTGACCTTTTAGGATGGAACCCCGGATCTTAACATGATATCAGAGCCAAATCGATCCATGGTGTGGGCCCCCTTATGTAAAATGATGACACGGTCATAAATAATGAAAATGACGAACGACGAAAAAAATGAATGAGGGCATGATCCAGACAAAGTGTCTGATCGTGAGGAAGAGTGATAAAGTCCCACACCGGTAAATTGAGAAGCATTTGAGTGCTATATTAAGCTTCGAGCTACTCCTCCTAACAGGTTGACCTTTTAGGATGGAACTCTGGATCTTAACACATATCAAGAGTCAAGAGCAAAGAAGGATTGAAGATTTTGTTTTGCTCTAAAGATGGCAGATTTTCCTCCAAGACCATCAATGTTTTCTATAGAGAGATTTTCCAGAATTTGGAAACATAGTCTTTATGTCATTTAGTTATTCTGATTTATTATGAATCCCAACTTTTTTGTTATTATTATATATTATATATCATTATATTGAATTAATACATATTTCAATGATTTTGTCAATGAGAATTAAAAAATACATATGAAAGATATATTTCACATTCACAGAAATTAATAAAGTAAATATTTCATATGGGAGTTGCACCCGGGGCAACGCCCGGGTACAAAGCTAGTTATTAGAATAAATTGAGTACCAAAAAAAAAGAGACCGGACCAAAACCATGCTAATTGTTAAGACTCGAGTTCCATTGTAAAATGTCAACATGATAGGAAAAATGGCCTATAATCATATATATATTTTATTATTTCGATTCATATCATTTTAGTGCGAGACATTTACCTTAACTTCTAGTGATCGTTATTGTTTTCAAATTTACGGTAGTAAATATGATGTTATACGGATAGTAACTTTAGTCATTTTTTTGCTAAAAAAACTTATCAGGACATACCTCTTAATTTGGTGTCAAGGGAAACATGAAAACCGAGAGAAAAGATAATACGTATTAAATTTTCATAATTATACTCAAATACTCTAGTGTTTTTGAAAACTACCAACAAAAGGCTAAACATATTTTTCCACGGCTTTCATGAGAGGTTTCTTAAACTAATCAAACACACTTTATGGATGTTATGTACTTATTCCATAACATTCATATTTTCTCATTTAAAAGTACGTAAAATTGTGATTAATGAAAGAGGATATAAACTATTATGGTTATGATGAGAAGATAATGAAATAATGTGTTGGAATGAAGGACATATCTAAAAAAGTAGTTATAATAGTGTATTATATTCAAAGTTACTAAAGATATGACAGTAAGATTAGAAATATGAAGATATGAATGTTACGGTTGAAAAAAAAAGCGAGAAGATATGAATGTTATGGAGGGACTATATAATTTCTTATCACTACTTGTTGGAGTACTATATTTGTCTCAAACTGGATAACTATAAATTAATTAAACACCATATAAGATCTTTGAATACTTCTTCTTAACAAGTTGATCTTTTAGGATTACATTTCGAGTCTTAACATGGTATCAGAGCTAAGACTGGTTGTAGTTTGATTGTTTATTTAGCAACCACGATTAATGATAGCTTGTTAAGAGTTTATTTGACTAAATTATACACCCTGATATTGTCCAGCTTGGTATGGACTAATAAGGGGTTGTGTCGAAGTATTTGTCTCACTCTGAATTTGTATAAAGTAATAAAAACCTATATAAGATTATGAGTTGCTCATATGAGTTTGACCTATTAGGGCGTGTTAAGATTTGTGGTTCCATTCTAAAGGTCAATCTGATAGGAGAAAGACTTCAAGATGTTAATAAAGTGTTTAATTGTTTTAGAGATATCCGGTATGAGACAACAACATCTCTCCTCACGATCAGACACTTCGTCTGGATCATGCCGTCATTTATTTTTTTATTGGTTCGTCATTGTTATTTTTTATAATCATGTCGTTATTTTCATAGGGGGTCTTCACCATGATTATGGATCAGTTTGGCTTTGATACTATGTTAAGATTGTGGTTCCGTTCGAAAAGGTCATCTTGATAGGATGAGTATTCCAAAATCTAAAATATTATAAACACCAATGAAGGTTAGGGTATTTTTGGTATATTAAATGTGTTGGTGTAACACAAAGCAACATCATCTTGTACATTGTGCTCTTATCATTATACCGTATGGTATTGCTCTTACTTTTCTCCGTTACCTCCGTTAATATCAAGTGTTCATTGTGTTTAGCACTTTAGCCGTCTCTTCCACTTCACGTGGTTCATTCATTCTTTGAGTATTTAATTTCTCCCATTTCATTTAATTTAATTTGGAACTTTAAATGTGCGGTGCCCTTCATCTCATTCCTACTACTCAAATTAAGGAACAATCGTTCCAATTAGGGTTTGGAATGGTCTTTGCAAGAAGGTATCGTCTGAAAAAAGAAACATATCTATTACAGATTATAATAATTATTATTATTATCATTATCATTATCATTATTAATTACTTGCATTTGTTTTGAATGGTATGTGCGATTTTCGATCCGGGACCCGAAAAATGAAATGTATCGGTATATGATCCGAATGATATAGAACTATCAATCTGGGATCTAACATTTCGTAGGTTTTGATTTTTCTTTTATTAATTTCATTGCTAATTTTTTGTAAACATTTCTTCACAAAAGTTTAATAGTTTTTTTTGAAAGGAAAAGTTTAATAGTTTAATAAAGCTAAATAATATTTATAATTTTTAAAAATAAAAATTATAAAAGTCATGACAACTTCTAGATTGATATATTCAATCATTTAGATTCTAAATTAGTAGTTTTCATCATTCAGGTCTCATATCGATAAATTTCATCTTTCAGGTCCCGGATCAATTATTCGTCTATCTTTCAGGAATTCAGGTCCTAAATTGATAAAATTTTGTCTTTTTTTAAAGCAGTGAATTTATGGTTCTGTTCATTTATGTTATGATCCGGGGTTCCATCCTAAAAGGTCAACTTGTTAGGAGGAGTAGCCCGAAGCTTAATATAGCACTCTAGTGCTTCTCAATTTTCCGGTGTGGGACATTTAACACCCCTCCTCACGACCAGACACTTCATCTGGATCGTGTCGTCATTCATTTTTCATCGGTTCGTCAATTTTTTTTATCGTGTCGTCATTTTTCATAAGGGGCCCCACACCATGGATCGATTTGGCTCTGATACCATGTTAAGATCCGGGGTTCCATCCTAAAAGGTCAACCTGTTGGGAGGAGTAGCCCGAAGCTTAATATAGCACTCTAGTGCTTCTCAATTTTCTGGTGTGGGACATTTAACAATTTATCTCTCTTATTCACAAAACTCAAACACACAGGTTTTACTATTCTAACTTTACTCAAAATATCAAATATGGAATACGAAGTATACATTTAGATATTTTTTAAACTATTAATTTCTCACTAAATCAAATCCGCATTAGCCATCTGCTTTTGACCCTTCTATTTATATATCCGATTCCCATTCTTGTGTTTTGCTTTCGTTTGAACTAGCCAAAGGGTATATGCATTTTAGAATTTATCAAGGGAGTCCTTCACATTATATTATTGACTCCAATGGAAACCAGCATGAAAATGCACACTATTTGACATAGTTTGTCCTTATTTCTCCTACTGTTTAAAGTGAGAATCTTCTTCTCTAAAACCTAATTTATTTTTGTTTAAGGTTAATTACTTCAGACTGAAAAAGATTCAATTGAATAAATAGGAAATAAAGAGAGTGATAATAGATAGTGTAGGAAAGTAGATTTTTTTATTGTATTTCAAAAAAAGATTGCTCTCAGATATCTCGATTTAATCACTATTCTTTCTAGATTCGAAGACTCACCCTAAAACTAAAACAAAAATGAGTACAGACCTTGAAAATGTAAAAAACTCTTAAATATTTGATAAATTAGCATAGACAAATATGTTTGATTTATGAAGCTGAAAGATAGAAGAATTATCGATCTGATACCTAAAAGATGAAATGTGTCGATATGAGACCTGAATGATGGAAAACTATTAATTTAGGACCCGAATGATTGAAAACTATCAATTTACAACCTAAGTTGTGATCAATTTTATTATTTTATTGTTTTATAAAATTTATAAATATTATTTAGCTTTATTAAACTAATAAACTTTTGTAAAGAAATGTTAACATATCAATTAGTAAAAGTAATTATATCAAATTAATATACAATACACATATCTCTCAATAAAAATTATATTGGACATTTTATTCAATCGCGCAAAGCGCGTGTTGAAAACTAGTCTTAATATAATATTTAATTATTTTAAAGACATTTGGTGTGAGACAACAATATGATGAAACTCTTAATCTTTAACACTACAAAAAATTGAATATGATAATCATCATTATAAGTTTCGAGCATAGTTATTTTGTACAAGAAATCATATTTTTATCCGTCATTTTTATTTTGGTTATAGGTATGTCGTTATTTCTCTTTTCTTTCATAAAATCTTGTTCTTACTTCCTAGTTTATAAAAGGAAAAAAAAAAAGAAAACAATACAAAAATCTTCCATGAACAATATCGGCCGTGCGGCCAATTTGTGGTTTCTATTTGTTCCAAACTTTATATCGGCCCATTCCAAATTGAAATTGTACCCCCAGCGCATAGCTCATTCTTCGTATTTCTTTCTGCCATTACTCCAACTCTAGAAGCATCCTTCCCTCCCTTCGGCTCACAGGTCTATTCCACAATTCACCTTTCTTCCATATCCATAAAGGTATTTCATATTCTACGATAAGCTTTGGTCTGATGCTTAACATTTATTCTCAAACAAAAATTATACTATCGTATATCGTTTTAAGTATACAGGCAAGAAATTATTTGATGGTTTTATCAGTAATAAATTTTTAGATCGGTCTAAATTCCAAATATGAAACTATGCTTTACATACCTCTTATCAACCCTATATTTTTGAAGATGTGTTTGAATCAACACTCTACAGATATGTTTTCACGTTTCAAAAAGTATATGCTTGGTTATTTAGTTATTTATAAGCTGTTATTTATATGCGGCAATTTTATTATTTGTGTCGCCTTTATATTTTGCTCTTAGGAAAAAATGTGTTTTTGGTCAGCTTCCCCCCCAAAAAAGTATCAGGAATGCCTTTAAAGAAATATCATACTACTAATTCTTATATGACTTATTAGCTATAATTTTTGGGATAGAACTTGCGATTCTTATTTACCTAGGACCAAAGAGATACGGAGTATTATTCTGGGAATACGAACACTACAGTCTTACTTAAGGAATGTAGCTATGCTTTACTATTATTATTACTACTATTGTCCAGCCGGTTCTGGGGCCTAATTTTTTTAAAATTATTATTGTCATTAAGATCATCATCATCATTCCTACTACTATTACTACTATTACTATTTTCATTAATATAAATATATCAAGTTTGTGGAAAAGTCTAATGAACATAATTGAAGAAATAAGCAAGGTTGTTAAACCGATCAAAGAAGTCTTTGAGAATAAGCAGTAGATCAAATCTTAAATAACAGGATAAATCAAGATTGCTGCCAAGAATTGGGGGATTTGGGTGAAAAGGAAAAATGCACAAATTGACCAAAGTAAACCAAAGAATTACTTAATACAATACATAATTTCTTAAACATGATTTACAAGCTAGTTGTCATAGTTTCCACAAACAATAAACATAAAGCAATTTTTAAATCCATAAATGACTCATAAACACATATCCTCATCAACAGTGCCAAATCCATTTCTTTTAGGGTTGACTATTACATTTTTCTCATGAATATCATTGTTTATTTGAATCTATGCATACTTTCTAGATCCTGTTATGGTTCATGTTTTAATATTCGAATAAAGATTCTATCCTTCAGATCTAACAATGTGCGTTTCGTTTCTTTGTTTCTGATGCTGTTCATTTCTTTTTCCATGTTGGTAAATTATAAGGAGAAATGCAGGGTGGAAGAGATCCTTTCTTTGGCTTTGGAAACCCTTTTGGAGGTAGTCTTGGTGGCTTTGGACCTGACAGAAGCTTAATGTCAAGTTTTTTTGGCGGGAGGGATCCTTTTGACGATCCGTTCTTCACACAACCGTTTGGAGGCATGTTTGGGTCAGGCATTTTTGGGCCCGGTGAACAACAATTTATGGGCCCAAATCAGGCTAGATTTCATGAAGCAATGTTTTTTCCTCCTAGCAGAAGTCAATTTATGGGTTCACATCCAGTTGAACTCATTGAACACTGCCCCATCCCACCCACTATTTCGCGTGGGCCTATAATTGAAGAGTTAAATTCTGACGATGAACATGAAGAGAAAAAGGGGACGACTGGGAAAGGAAATCCAAGAAAACATGGAAGATTGAGCGAAGAGGCTTTTGTTCAAGACCCAGAAGGTGGCTAAGTGTTTATCTTTCATTTCTCTCCTGTGATTACTTATTGAGTTATTCTAATGCATTGTTATTTTATTATGATAGAGCGGAGTAGTAAGCAAATTCACTATGCGAATGATTTTAGGCCGATGCAACATTTTCAACCACATCCACAGGCTCAAAGTTTTTCATTTAAGAGTTCAACTGTTTCTTATGGCGGAGCTAATGGTGCATATTATACTTCATCTAGAATCAGGAGGACAGGGAGTGATGGTGTAAGTAAATTAATTAGGCTTTGAATTTATATATATATATATATATATATATATATATATATATATATATATATATATATATAGTTTTTGGATCAAATGAGAACCATGCTTAACGTGAGAACATGAGAACTCCACTTTTAATCTAATGTGATGCACAATATCGTTTATACCTTTCACATTTTCGCGTTAACGAAATAATTACGAATTTGCCTCCACATTTTTTTAAAGTTGGCACGTTTTGACCAAAGTTTAAAAAGTGCGATAGATGAGCCTGACAGTGCATCAAATTGTGTTAAAAGTGCATGGTTCTCACGTTCTCACGATAAGCATGGTTCTCATTAGAACCGCTCCCTATATATATATACATATACAAAAATGATCCTGTCCGAACGTTCGGACAGGATCCTCCGTCCGAACATCCCCGTTTGGGGCCCTTCCCGGTGGAATTTTTTGATGACATTTTTTGAGCATGTTCCTCATCAAGTCTAGTTTGTCCATACCAAATTTCAGCTCAAAATTCGATCGGGAAGGCATTCAAATCATTTTTTGAAGTTGACTGCGTTTTTATATGTATATTTTGACGCAGTCAACTTCAAAAAATCATTTGAATGCCTTCCTGATCAAATTTTGAGCTGAAATTTGGTATGGACAAACTAGACTTGATGAGGAACATGCTCAAAAAATTTCATCAAAAAATTCCACCGGGAAGGGCCCCAAATGGGGATGTTCGGACGGTGTTCGGACCAGGAATGTTCGGACCTGAACATTCCTCTCTCTCTCTCTCTCTCTCTCTCTCTCTATATATATATATATATATATATATATATATATATATATATATATATATATATATATATATATAGTTCTTTTTATTCAGCACCTGAAAGATAGGCTATCCATCAATATAGACTATCACTTTGGACTTGAACTGTTGAAACTATAAATTCAAGACTTCAATTATCATGAATTCCTTTATTTTGTACCCTCTTCTTTATTGTTTTACTTGTTTGTGAATTGGTTATAAACTTAGGGCTAAGATAACCACAACCCTTACAGCTATTGAAAGGTACTTATGATCCGTTTGTTTCAAGCGTTTGAGGTGAATTTTGGTACTTTTAGTTTAAGTCTTGGTTCACCTCATTTTTTAGTATCTTAGGACAAGAATCTTGGTTTTTGACAGAACCTATGCTTACTCAAGAGCACTTCCAAAACCCTTCTCTAGCCCAATTTTGGAGATCCTTCTAGTCTGAGGTTGTTAGAGAGCAGGGAGAGCCAGGGGGTGGGGCGGAGGAACTGAGTCCGAGCCCCAGGTCCTTATTGGTCTACCGCAAGCGGGGACGGGCTTGAGCCTACCTGCTGGTTCTAGTTATTTTAAGTAGTTTTAATTATTCCTTTTATTATGTTTCCTATTTTATTTTGTTACCTAGTATAGTTTAATTAGGACTTCTATTCTTATTAGAATTAGAGGTTTCCTATTCCGTTTAGTTTCCTAGAATTTTTTAGCCAGGACTTCAATTCTTATTACAATTAAAGGTTTCCTATTCTATTTAGTTTCCTAGTATGGTTTAATTAGGATTCCTATTCTTATTCGAATTAGTGGATTATTTTATTTTGGTTCTCACCAGAGGTTTTCGGAGGTTAAGGTTTTTGGATGTTTTTACTTGGACTGTAATTTTCTTGCGTAGTTTGTTTAAGTTTGGTTTGAACTGGTTTGATTTGGTAGATGCCAATTTTACGACTACCGAAGTCTAGTCTTGAAACCAGTTAAAGTAAAAGCATCCTAAGTTCTCTTTATAAGTAATATTAACAATCAACATATTTATCTTGGTTATCCTACATGCAGATAAACTTGTAATGCATTCACGTGCGTCAACAATTTTATATATGCAGCTTGGTTCACCCAAATTTTATTAAACCTAGTTCACCTAAGGTCACCCGTTTTACTGAAATTCACTCTATCCAAACGGACCATTAATTGCATAGAATATTCTATCGTTAGTAATGATTGAATGTCACCTTAAGGGCTGCGGTTAGCATTTTCCTTAAATTTAATACATAGGTCATGAAGGTTTTCCTTTGTTAGTTAAACATAAAAATAATTAAAAAGGATTTGCAATTCTTATTTATTTGAGTCTTTGACTGAGGTCTCAATCATTAACGCACTAAGGACCAGTTTGCTATCGTTGGCAATTCTCAATTAATTATTTTATGATTTTGAAAGGTATAATATAATCTCTAACGCATGGAAACACTGGATGGTAGAAAACAGAGTTTGTTATTTTGTTGACCAAAAATAGAAACTTAATGTAGGAATCGATTGACGCCTTTTTACATTGAAGCGATCCATATTCCTTCTGCAAAAAATATAGAAACCCGATCAAATCAAACTTAGGTAGATTAAAGCTCTTGCCTTCAGCCTAGTCTTTTCCACCGGTTCGTCGGCTTCGGTAGACGTCCTCATCTTAACTCATCCGCAGGCTGTCGTCTTCAGCGGCTTATGTCAAGTCCCAAGCTTTTTACTCTTTTGCCTTCTGCGACCCGGACTGTTGCTTAACTTTTTCTCTTCTGGGATGATTGCTTACTTCATTGATTAAGTCGATAACAGAATACTCCATGGTAGAATAGTATATTGGGTTGCCGGGTCGCAGAGTCGGTGGTGGGATTTGAGATTGCAGATAGATTACTCCGTATTTCGTATTTAGTCTATATTCTTGTAATAGGTGGGAATATATTTGATGTTGATGTTGATGTTGTGTTTTTTGTTATGTTACGGGTTAATATTTGAATAATTAAATATTTTAATATGGTGTGGCATGTGTGTACGTATGTATTTTATTATATACATATATATGTGTGTGTAACTGTGTATATATATACATATATATGATGTGTAATGAACTTAAATCTAAGCATACTTGTCGTAATCATGTAAAATTTGGAAGGTGCCAACCAAAAAACTACCAAAATCAACTTTATCTAGGTTTCAGGATTTTTGTTTGTAGTTTTCCAAAAGAAAAAAGATAATGGAGGTCTAAATTAATAGTTTTCATCTTCGAAAATTGCCGTAAGTAGGAGTATAAATGTGAAAGTTCAAAACAGTAGTATTATGTTTTTCGACTTTTTCCCATCAAAATAAAAGTAATCACTGCCATGTTTGGAAAATACTATTAATGCATATTAACATTATGACAAATTAATATGGCATTAATACTGCCATATTAATGCCCGGTAATGCCAAATTATGGCAGATTTATATCTCTTTCATCTTCTTGAGTTCTTGGTCTTTGATTTGATCGCTAACTTATCTTTGAATTGACAAAACTCATTTATGCTTTCTGAAACCATATTTACTTTTTGTTTTCTATACTTCACTTGTTTTGCAGTTAACATATGAAGAATGCAAAGAAGCTGACTCCACCAGCGGTAGAGCAAATCATAAGATTTCAAGGGGGATACACGATAAGGTATCTTTCATACCTTGGATGCTTATATGGTCAGTTTGGATCTCGGAAAATGCTAGGGAAAGAAAATAGAGATTAGAAACAGAATTCAAAAAGAAAAGCTATGCAGAGAAATAAAAAAAAGCTTCTCATAAAACTCAAATCTCAATTTTAGAATTTTTTCAAATCTCATTTTATTTAAACATGTTGATTACTCACTCTCTCCGATGCTTCCAATTGACCTCCCTCTTTACCTGTCCTACTTTCGTGGTCAGTATGTCCCAATATTATTTTTACTAAAATAAGCATAACTATCCTTCTCTTGTTCTGAATCTACCCTTTAGAATACTCCTGAATTCAAATGAGTTCAGTGGTTGGTGAAGTTAACAAATTTTGGAAAAATAACTGCTAGAGGTATCCATCTAGCTACAGTGCTGCACCAACCATTTAAAAAACCCTTTTCAACATTATGAATTTATGACCATAGATTATTTTCCTGCAATAAAAGGGACATAGTAGATCTATCCCAGATATATAGGAGCATGTGCTGTAGCCTGTAGGGAAATACATCTCTTACACCTTTCTTTTCCTATCCTAAGTACTTATTTAGTTAAATTGCAACTCGGTGACAACTCGGTCAAGAGCCTAGTAGCGAGTATGAGTCATATGACTGATTCTTCATGATTACTCAGTGAGTACTCGGTCCTACATTACTAAAATTACAATTATATTACGTAGTATTGTATATGCGACAAAAGTGATTACTATTATCTTCTTCCATCTTCTATAATAGTCACTAATTATTTTATAATCCCATAGTATCCTACGTTGGTTTGATTTTTCAGATTTAACTTAACAAAATTCTTTATTGGTAACCGAGTTACTCGGCAACTAAACTAGTCACCAAGTTGTGAAAATTGCTGTGTACTCAGCGGTTCACTCAGAATATTTATTGGAACATAATAAGCACAATAGTCAACAAGGTTTTACCCTGAGTAGTGAGTAATTGAGTACTGCCCGAGTAATTGCTGATTACTCATGAGCTATGTAGCACCGATACGGGTACGCAGAAATGCGGAAACGGGTACGGGGATACAACAAACCCAAAAAGAGTAGGATACAAATATGGGGACATTTATAAATATTAAAAGTTATGGGGATGTATTTATAAATATTAAAAATTATGGGGGTGTATTTATTTTAAATATTAAAAATTACAAGTTTTTTTTTTGAAAATATATACATATATTATCCTATGACCTCTGCCCATTCATGGCATGGAAGAATTTCACATTATCAAGATAGGTCGAAATAAGTTCATTCTTTATCTCATATACACCACTTGCCCCTACCTCGGCCCCACCCCGATTCCGACCCCACCCTACTGCCACCCCTAGCCCCTTACCACCCTACCTCACCCCGCCTGTACCTTCCCTACCCCGACCCCTACCACCTTCCCCTACCACGACCCCACCCTACCCCACCACACCCGCCCCTACCCCTAGCGCTTAACCACCCCACCCTCGACCATAACCCCACCCCACCCGTACCCTCTTATCCTACCTCGACCCTACTCCAACCTCACCCTTACGAGTAGGGTAGTTGTTAGGGGGTATGGGTGGGTATGAAGGGTTGTAGGGGTAGAGGGTAAGGTCGTGGCAAGGGTAGGGGTAGGGGTCAAGGGTGTAGAATTGGGGGTAGGGTGTAGGGTAGGGGTACGGGGTATTGGGTAGGGGTTAGGGGTATAGGTACACGTACGAGGTGACCCCACATATTATATTATATACTTGTGTTCATGAATGTTTGTGTGCCTATATATGTATAGGGTTATTTTGGACATTTTAATGTTAAACGGTGTTTTAAACCCTTTGAAGTAAACATGATCTTACAACATTGCTTATTTTATGCGCCACTTATTAACACGGGTCTTAATAAGCACCGTTTAGTAACCCGTGAAGTAAACGTGTCCTTAGTGTTTTATTCTGTATAGCGTGATAAATGGGAATGACATATGAATTTATACATAGGGCCATTCTGTGGTGCGAAAACTGAATTCAGATGGCAGAGTTGATACAATGCAAGCTTTGCATAATATTAATGAAGGTATCCAGCTGTCCTTGATAGATCTCTTTTGGTATCCACGATGATAGTTCATGAAACTCTATCTTCGAATTTGATTTTCTTGTAGATGAACTTCCCAGTTTTGAGGAAGCTTGGAAGGGAAAGGTTAAACGGCATCTTCCTGGTTGGATGGGGGAGGGGTTGGATGCCGAAAATGCTATAGGTGAGTGAGTTTGTTGCTCATATAACGTCTGTATTTTTTCTTGCATGGTGACATCATTATTTTTTATTTTTCGTAGAGTTGACTAGTATTCTTCAATGGAAGGGATGTTTGATTGATTTTGATTATGATTCATCTTTAAATTTAGAATCAGAGTAAAAAAATCAGCTATATGAGAAAATGATTCTTCTTAACTGCTCTAGAAGAAGTTGAAAATCACATTGCAGTGTACTGTTGGGACCATCTACTGTTTTCAATTGATTAGTGTATGAAATGATTAGAAGGGGGCATGCAGTCATGCTCAATATCTTTATGATGTAATAATAAACCCACAAAAATTAGTTTTTTTCTCCACGTTTACACTGTTTCTTCTCGAGTCCATTTCCCTTGGGATGCAAATTCGTAAATTAAGCTTCAAACATGATTTTTTGTGTGGGGGAGAGCCGGAGAGGTATGTGTTCAACGTGCCACGGTAAATTTTTGCTTTTCAATCCAGTGAGATGAAAAGGTTTCTGTTTAATATTTTGAAAAGTACTGTAATTATTGTTTCTGTACCCGGAGTATATGTTTGTATATATAGGAGTTGGAAGCAGTGGCGGTGTGAACATGGAGGGAGGCAGGGGAGGGTGGGCACTTCCTTCAACAGAGAGAACGATGCATGATCATCAGTCTAAGTCAAAGTCCAAGTATGGAGGAGGAAATAGGACGGCAGCAGCAGGTCAGTATGTGCACCAGCAACCAACTGGTGCAATAGTGAAAGAGCACAAAAGTCTGGGGGGGAGACATATCAACGGCGGCGGCATCAACAACTAAATAAATCAATGTCATAAACAATACATACATAAAAGTGCTGCTATACTTGCCCCTCAAGAATTGCCGGCTGAAACTTTGGGGATTGTCTATGTTTTATAACGTACGTAGTGTTGAAATATATGAATTAATCACCTTCTAACTACTTATGTTTAGCCGTTCTTATCACCATTAATGGAATAATTAAAAAATCTATGATTTCAAGGTGATAATTGTGTGGCTTATAGTCATCTTCTAATTTAAATGAGCTCACAATTTCTCCTACAAATAGGAGTCTTCTCCCATTCTGGTTAACACACCTCTGAGAAAACCTTTGATGTTCAAGAATTATTCCCATCCATTATAATTTCATATTCTTTTACTTGATTCTTATAAGCGTTAGAGGCTAATTTTCAAAATAAAACCCGTGATGAACCTCTACATCTGTTAGGTGTTTGATAAAAGTTCTCAACCAATAAATTATGACTTATCCTTTACATTTTAATTATTTATAATTATGGTGTACAAAAAAAGTATGGTTGATTAAATTACACTTGACAATTCGTGTTGATGAATTTTGGAGCAAGGTGATCCCTCAAGGAGAGCATGAAACCTCAATTGCTCATCTTTTAATCGATTATTTCTGTTTTTGTTTATATATGTTCTTTGTTCTGCGATCTAATTTAGTGAGTGACACAAAATTGGTTCTTAATTTAGGAAATTATTTCTAAGGTGCATGCGTTTTCTATCATATTCAACAATCTGAAATATTCTTTTTATGTTTTCATGTGAATTGAATGACGATGGTGTCAATTTTATGTATCATCATTTTGCTATATTATCCGTAGTTGTATTGCACTATTAGAGTATTTGCAAACTTAAAGACAAAAAATGTAAGTCTTTTGAATATTTCCTAACATTCAATATGCTCTTTCTTTTATTTATTTTTTATAACATATGTATCATGTATCGAACCATTAGACACCTCGCTGGTACTAGGGATGGACTCGGGCCGGGCGGCCCGCCCCGGAACCAGCCCGGCCCGGTTACTGTTGAGCCCGGCCCGGCCCGGGAACCGGTGGGCCCAGCGGTTCGGGTCAAACCGGCCCGGCCTTTGGGCGGTTCGGGCTCGGGCCTATGTTTTGGTGAACCGGCCCGGCCGGTTCGGGCCGGAATTTAATTTTTTTTTTTTTTTTGAAATTTTTTAAAGTTTTGGGTTGGATTAGGTATTTTGGGCCATTTGAGGTGGTTTGGGGTGGAGGGGGAGGGGTAGGGGGTTAAATAAGAGAAGAAGAAGAAGAAAAAAAAATTAAAAATCCGGGTGGCCCGGCCCGGTCTGGCCCGGAACCGCCCACCACCGGTTCGGGCTCGGGCCTCATTTTTCTGAACCGAGGCCCGGCCGGGCCTAGGCCCGAACCGGGCCCGAACCGGCCCGAGGTCATCCCTAGCGGGTACCTTATGAGTTTTATTAGTTATCCAGACTATCCCAGATCACACCCAACCTTAATTTTTTCATACGTAAAGATGGAAATGTGCCAATTCCTAAAACTTTCCAGATGTTTTTCCTTAAATTACTAACGAAAACTTATAAACAAAAATGTGACTTATTAACTTTTAATAATAACTGGGAATAATGGCATTAATAATACCACCAGGTTTAGAGTGGACAAAAATAAGACTCATCGTTGAATTGGACAAAATCACAACTAATCTTATTTAATAAGACCACAAAGCCCTCAATTAAAATCCAGAAACCCTACTGCACGATCTCACTTCCCTTTCATTTGCACGCAACTGCTGAAGCAAGCCTCCATGTCGCCGCCACTGAAGCAAGTGGACGTTGCCGCATCACATCACCAATGTCGAAGCACATCGGGCCCAAAACTTTGTCCCACACCGCCACGACAAGTCAACACCTCCACCCTGCGCCGTCATCACAGCTCCACACCTTCATCGCGCGCCACCGCTGCAGTTCTGCCGCTTGCCTTCTTTTTCATCTCTTTCTGTCTAGCGTTGGGGATGGAGAATCTAAGGAGATGTTAGTTGATGAACTCCTTCCTCGTTTTGGGATCCGGATCCTAAAGCTCGTGTGGCGACTGGGGCTGGTCCAGATCTAGAAAGTCGTGTGGTGGCTAGGGTTGGGCTTGTGCAGGTCGAGGATTGTGACAGCTGGCTGGGTCATGGACGGGGTCTGGTGGGTGGGTGGTGGAGTCTGTCAGGGCTAGGGTTGCTGGTCACTGCAAGGGGCGAGATAGGAGGTGACGCGTGGTGGTCAATGACGATGACAGATCAAGACGAATGGTCCTGGGGCGGCGGGTTACTGACCGACGATGGATTGGTTGCTAGTTGGCGATGCATGGATTGGTCGTTGGCTGGCAGCGGTCATTGGACGACGTTGATTGGTCACTGGCCAACGTGGATTGGTCACTAGACGGTGTTGATTGGTCACTGGCCGACGGTGGATTGTTCACTGGCCGACGACGGTTACTGGACGACGTCGATTGGTCACTGGTCGTCAGTGGTCACTGTCTGTCGAATGGTCATAGATGTGGAGGTCACTACCCGATGGTGTTGCCTATTGAAATTTCGTTAATGTGGTGTCGGAGTGGTTGTCTATGTAACATGTGGCGGCAGAGTTGGTCACTGTGAGAGGAGGAGGAAGCGTTAGTCACTATGACAAGAGGTGACAACATTAGTCACTGTGACAGGAGGCGGCAACATCGTTAGTCATTGTGACAGGAGGCGGCGAAGTTGGTCACTAGCCGCTTGGTCACTGAGCATTGGTCACCGTCAGATTGGTCACTTCGGATTAGTCACTTTAGCGTCACTGTAACATTAGTGATGTAAGATTTTACTAGTAAGGGTATAATAGTCACTTAACCTATTTTTGGTCTCATTTCTGGACACTTAAAAATCGATTTCTTGTTTGTCGATAACTAAGGGTCCGTTCGGTAACGTTTCTGTTTTTCTGTTTTTGTTTTTTTTCTTTGAAAGAAAAACAGAAACACGTTTGGTAAAAAGTTGTTTTTGTTTCCAAAATCATAATCTTTGTAAGTGTTTTTAGAAAACCAAAACATAATTCTGAAATCCACAAAACATAGTTTCTATAAATTTGTTATCATTTATCTTCAATACCCAGCTATCGGGACACCACCGGGACACAACCGGCCACCACCGGACCACCATCGGCCACCACCGGACCACCACCGTCCACCACCGGCCACCACCAGACCACCACCAGCCACCACCGGCCACCACCGGACCACCACCAACCACCACCGGACACCACCGGATCACCACCGGCCACCACCGGCCACCACCGGACCACCACCGGCCACCACCGAACCACCACTGGACCACCATCAGATCGCTTCCGACCACTCCCGAGACCATCATCGGACTTTCATGGACTACGAAAATAATTATTTGTTTCTTGGAATGACAAAACTGAAAATGAATTAGCACTAAAACAAGACGATTTCAAAAAATTGAGAATAGAAAACTAAAAACAGTTTTTGTTTTTTAAAAACCAAAAACAGAAAATTCAAAACTATACCGAACGAGCCTTAATTTTTTAGTAATATATTTGACATAACCTCTAATAATTGTGCTCAAAGTTTATTTCATAGTGACTACATATATACAATCACTAAAACGTAAAGTTTAAAATAACTAAAACGTAAAGTTTGAGTTTATATACGATTAATTATATAATCACTAAGGGTATGTTTGGGAGTTTGGAGGGAAGGGGAGGGGAAGACTTTGGAGATATGGAGGTATGTTGTTGGAGGGGAAAGGGAGGGGAGGGTGAGGAAACCCTTCTTTGTATTTGGGAGAAATAAATTTGAAAAAAGAGAGTTTTTGAATGAATTCAAATCACTTTGAGATATGACGAATTCAAATAATTGAACTGATATTTATTTTTAATTGAACTTAAATTACCATTTCGTTAATTATCCTTCAAAACTCTCCAAATTGGGGGAACTCAAAAATTGAGCATTTAGATGGTTTTGGAGGGTCACGAAAGCCATTCAAAACCATCCCCTCATATTTTAAAACTCCCAAACATGAATAGGAGGGTCATAAACCCCCCATCGACCTTCCCCTACCCTTCAACACTCAACTCCCAAACACCCCCTAAGGGTCAGTTTGATTGGGTGATTTTGGAGGGGAGAGAAAAGGAGGGGTCGTATTTAAATTTAAAATAATCTTTACATTTAGAAAAATTGAAATAAAGTGAAGACAAAATATTATATAAAAAATACATTATTTAATTGATTATAAAGTTAATGGTAGTCTAAAACTATCAAATTCAAATAAATTAGTAAAGTAAAATATCAATCTTCCCCTTCCCTCTCCTCCGAAATCCCCAACTAAACTGGTCCAGGAATTTACTCCTCTGTCCCATAAAATAGTTCGCACTTTCTTTTTTGGGATTGTCTCAAAAAATAGTTCTCATCTCTTTTTTTGGAATGTTTTGTGTGACTTCCATTCGTTTACATTTTTCTTACTCAATCATAATCATACATTTTCATTTTATACTCACTTTCTTAAATTCCTATTCAAATCAATGTGAGAACTATTCTATGAGACGAAGGGAGTACTGAGTTACATTTTCAGTTGGATACTACTCCCTCCGTAACTTAAAGATCTTCCCACTTTCCTTTTTTGTCCGTAACAAAAAGATCTTCCCATTTCTAATTCTTCTCATCATACCCTCAATAATTCGGGTTTAATGCACGAAATCACCTCGTGAAATATAAATTCAGCACATTAGCCCCTTGTGATTTAAAAAGTGCATCAAACCTCCCTGTGTTATAATTAATCATACGCAAAATCCCTTCCAAAAACAAATTTTACAATTTTGAACTCACTTTTTTTTTTAATAATATGGTTGAATATGCAAGTAACTTTGTCAAAATTTCTAAATTATATAAAAAAACTAACCATTTTTCATTTTTTGAAAATTAAATTTGATCTTGGAGGGGATTTGGCGCATTATTAATTATAACACAGGGAGGTTTGACGCATTTTTTATATTACAGGGGGCTAATGCGCCAAATTTATATTTCACGAGGGGGTTTGGTGCATTAAATCCCAATAATTCTTAAAATAATACACTATTACAACTTTTTTTTTGATTTATCCTATATTCCATAACATTATTTCACTATCTTCTCATCATAACTTCAATAATTTATATCCTACTTTTGAAATGGGAAGATCTTTATCTTAGGGAGGGAGTATTATTTTGATCATATAATAGGGAGTATTTCTTATTTTGAGGCCATTTTGTCACTAAATCATTCTTAGAAATGGATTGGGATCCTCTACCCGACTAGGAGGGTGCCTTGCGTATCGGACGGGAGGGGAGCGGCTAACACGACCTCGAGATCGACAAAAAAGTGGAGCCCAAGATCTCCGACCGTTGAATTGTCGATCGGACGACCGGGAGGAAGCAAGGTACTCTACCTTACTCTAAAGTAAGGTAGAGGCTCCGGATCCCTTAGAAATACCCTTTTATTTATGCAATTGCTTATTTAGGGGGTGTTTGGATCTGATTCTCAAAACTGATTATGCTCCTTCAGGGAGCAGAAGCAGAAGATGAAGTGTTTGGGTGAAATTCCAGAAGCACTTCTGGTGCTTTAATTTACTCTCAAAATCAGTTTTTTTAGAAGCTGGGGGTACCAGCTTCTGAAAATTCTGCTTTAATCATTTGGGGTTTGAGTGCAAGGTGAGAATGGCAGCAGCGAGAGCCACGACGGGAATGCTTTCCCGGGGAATATTTCGGACAACCACATCCTTACTCCGGATACGGTTTTCCCAAGCGCCGCCGCGAACCTGTGCCTTTGGTTGGAGCCCCTTCCTTGTATTGCGCCCCATCAGTTGCTCTCCCATCCTGTGCAAGGCATACGAATGCATCGATGGAGACGGCAAGAAGTCTCCGGCGAGGATGGCTCAGGTACAGCAGCTTATGCATGAAGCCACCGAGCGTGCTCACGACGCTGGCAATGATCCTATCCCTAACATCACAATCGGTATGCCCGCAGCTCCCACTTAAATCTTCTGCCTTCTGTTTTCGCAATTGAATTGGAGAAATTCTAGCACCGCTTGTGTACATTTGCGTTCTCAATTCGCACCCCTTCAGCCTTTTATTTTAGAAAAATTATTACTGGACTGCACTGTACACAAATACACAATAATGAATGAGGTAGGTTAAGGGGAAACCAAAACTACGAAGAGAAGGTGAAGCAGAAGTCCATCATTCCATGTTCATTTGGGTTGTCTCTTTTATTACTGTTATTTTTAATTTATTACTAGTATGTTACACATTGATTTTGTAATTATTTACGAAATAATGACCAATGAACAAAAATGCAAGTTTTTATACACACTCACCATAATACTAACTGCACTATTAACATACTTCATAGTAACTGTTTATTTATTCATTTATGTACTCATTTTTTTCATATATTAAAAGTAGTATGTATTTCATCCCTTTAGGTAGAAGACTCCAACCTGTGACTTTTTATGGAGACAAGGGTCAATTGAATTGAGTACATCAAGTTGTATGAGATGGAGTAAATAGTACACTATATTGCATTTGACATTTCAAAGTACACAAACTCGGTTTTTAGTGTTAATTGAGTACACATATTAGATTAACAACTTAATATGGCTGAGTTGGCTAACATAATGCTAATAAGTTGACTTCTTGAATGCCAACGCTAGCCCCTAGCCCCTTGGACCTTGGTCAACATTAGTCCCCCGCATGTCGACTTCCCCTTGGTCAATGCACCCCGCAAGTCAATGCCCCTTAGGTATACGGGTATACCTCTAAAAGTCGATGCCAGGACCTTGATTGACTTCCCTTTTTAGGTCGACTTCCTAAAGGTCGACCCCAGAACCTTGGTCAACTTCCCTTGATTGACTTCCCCTTCTTACTCAACATCCTATTAGCTAACTATGTAAATTAACGTGTTAATGTAACGAGTACTCAAATAACACTAAAAATGAAGTTTATGTACTTAGAAATATATGATGCAATATAGTGTACTTTTTACTCCATCTCGTACAAATTGACGCACTCGTCGTATTGAATTGATCATTTTCTCCACTTTTTATGTTTTCCCATACTCCCTCCGTCCCTAATAACTTTGCCAAGTTTGACCGGCACGAGGATTAATAAAGTAAAAACTGTGTGGTTGAGGTTTGTGCAGAAGAGAGAGAATTAACTTGAACCACAAATTCTTTACTTAAAAGGGAAAGTGGCAAAGTTAATGGGACATCCAAAAAAGGAAAGTTGGCAAAGTTATAAGGGACGGAGGGAGTATAATATATCCTAAAGTACCATTCATTCATATCTATAATTGATCAGGTATTCTCGAGTCCTATACAAATAACTACTACTAGTCTACTACAACAACTACAATAATAATAATAATAAGTAGAATTGTATTAGAGCTGCCTAATTATTTTCCATGGTATTCCGATGACAATCATGGGACCTGTTAAAATATCTAATTAATCAGGACATCCTAACCTTACCATGTTGGACTTGTGTTTTTCTTTTCTGTTAAAATAGTCTTCTTCCATGCTAATATCTGTCTTTGCCTTCTTATTACAAATCTAGATCATGTTACTGTAAGCTTTGCGAGAAGTGGTGGCCCTGGAGGTCAAAATGTTAACAAAGGTCTCTGACAATGAAGTATTCTATAACTTCCTTCAAGAATCCCATCTTTCTTCCAGTATATATACGATTATTGCTCCCCCCATTTGCTTGCAGTTAATACAAAGGTGGATATGCGGTTCAATGTACAAAATGCACATTGGTTAAGTGACAGGATTCGAGAGAAAATTTTGCAGAAGGTGAATTTTCATTTTCTGCATTTGATTGACGCTAAAAAGTTCTTTTTTTGTTTATGCATTTTTTGTGAGGCTTCATATTAACGGAATGACAATATGTATCAAGAAGAATATTCACATCATCTTTAATGATTTGGGGCAATGTACTCCCTATTCCCCAAAATATCTTTAAATATATGCCAGTATGTTAATCTTTCAAAATTAAATATAAAAAATCAGTTGGAACAAATATGTGAAATAAATATTGAGGTTGGACCTGTCTTTCTTCCCCTACAAATTTAAATATATGCCAGTATGTCTTTCATACTTTCTTTCCTGGGTATATCCCGTGTTCCGAACAGACCGTTAGGATTATGATAAACATAGTGAATGATACATTTGTATCTTCTATTCAAATTCTAGAAAGATTTAAAAGGAAGGGGCTAAAAGAAGCAGCACAAAGCAACAGGACTAATTTGCTTACGACTTGATACCTTTGGGTTGTAAGCAGGAAAAAAATCGGATCAATAAAGATGGAGAGCTTGTGATATCTTCAACTAAGACCAGAACACAGAAGTAAACCTCTTCCTACTAATTGGCCCTTTTCCCTCAATTAATTAGTTACAATTCAGCTAAAGTTGCTATTGTTTATCCAGAGGTAACATTGAAGATGCCTTGAGTAAATTACAGGTACTGATTGGTAAGGTTTCTGTTTCTCTTATTAATTATCTTTCCCATCTGCTCAGAACTGTAAAAAAACACCATTGATGGCCAATTCATCATGTGTTTGTAAGGCCAAGCAGAGATGTGTCTTTGAGCACTGCAAAGTTGGACTGTGATACTAAGCTGAATACAAAACTACTACGGAGTAGTTTTTATTCTTTTTATAAAATAAAACTAAATTTAAAGAAGACATTTTGACAAAATATCTATGAAAAGATAAATTATTGAGTGTCAATATTCATTCCTGTTTTCGTCCATTTTTTTCATTTCTACCTCCATATTTTCTTCCTCTAGTATTTCCGGGGTTCCAAAAATCGAAATAGACCCGTATTGGTAAGGCAAGGCTTCACGGTTACATTTGGTTCTTGCTGAAGACTAATACACTACTTGTACAGGAAAGTAATGGGCCTTAGGATGTGATGAGTTAGAGCCTATGGTTTCTATTACCATATAGAAACCTACCGTATTACTTATTATACTTTTACATACTCCACAATTGCAGGCTATCATTGATGCTGCTTCTTATGTCCCACCACCTCCGTCTGAAGAGCAAGTGAAAAAAATAGCAAAGTTGTAAGAATTCGCTTGCCAAACAATATTTGCAGTAGCAAACAATAGTTGTGGGATTGCAATTTGTTTATGATAGCGTTCTCAATTTTCTTAGGATTGCATGGTGCTACAGTTATTAGTATAGATTTACCAATAACCACTGCCCCCCGCCATTAAGGTGACGTCCATTTGAGGAAAATCTGAAAGAAAAGTATGGGGGAAATAAGTTAAAATGCAATTAATAATTTTTTAATAGATGTTTGTTGATATACATTTTATTTATTTGTGCACATGGAGTGTAAAAACTAATATACTCCAATTAATGTGTAAAAGAGTGAAAGAAACTGTCAATTCCGTATGCATATTCTAAAGTGAAACCCAACATAAAAACTTTCAACGATACCCTTTTACCCTTTCTATAGATTTTTAGGTGCATTTGTTTTTTCTATTCTTCAACAGAGCGGCAGCAGGGGAGCGCAAGCGCCTTGACAACAAGAAGGCTCTTTCACAGAAGAAGAGTATGAGAAGAAGCCGCGATGGTTGGGATTGATTTGTTTGGGAGGTGCAACAATATTTGGTTCATAACTATAACAGAATGCATATTTTAGTTCTTCAGCTACATATAGTCATATAGAGAATAGATTTCAAGCAAAAATGGAGGCGAGCTTCATTTGTTTCAACCCACCCATGTATTCTGTTATGTTACTTGCAGTATAAATACTCTGTAAGAATTTGGGATAATATATTTATATATATATGTATGTTTAATTTGGCGCAGTTATCTTCAAAAAAAACAAAAAATTATTTGAGTGTTTTTCCGATCGAATTTTTGGCTGAATTTTTTTGTGGATAAACTAGACTTGATGAGGAACATTCCATAAAAAATTCATCAAAAAACCCCACCTGGACGGCGGCTGCTGGACATATCCATGCGCAGCTTTTTCCTTAAAATTTATTGAAAAAGCATCGTGTTTACAACTTTACATATGTTGGTGATAACGCCAAAGCTGCCCTTCTGGGGAGCAGCACAATCTTCATTTTCTTACGTCTTTATATACAGGACATAATTGCAACTAAAATGATACAATTAGTGATTAGGGAAAAAGGAACAATCCAAATTATGAGGTATAGTTACAGATCAAGTTGTTGTTGTTTTGGCATTATCTAGAAAGAGCTAAAGATTGGGTTAATTTTTTCTTGGTTCATTTTCGGAAAAGAAATTCTTCACCGGATTCCTCGTCAAAATGCTTGATCCACTTTCTGCCACCGCCAACGGTGGCCCCCACGTGTGCGATGTCTAGACCCTTCCCTACCGGCAAAAGCACAGAGCGGACGATTCTCGTTTTCCCGTCCAGAACGCTCCGCCACCTGAAATCGGAAACAACCCTAGAACTGGCGTTCTTGCATATCAGCACCGCCCCTCTGTGGCCCAGTTTCGCCACCCTAAGTATTCTGGAGAACTCGGTTCGCCGGCAATCCACCACCAAGAAGTCTATCCCGGCAAGCCTCTCCATGGCTTCCTCCGGCTGGCCCACGATGATCTCCGGCCGCACCCCGGCGCTATGCATCGCCTCAGCGTACTCTTCCCGCGATTCGTGATCTGGAACGACGCAGACGTGGCGGCCTCCGGCGTAGTGGCTGGCCACCCCAAGGCCGACGCTCGTGGCCGTCACTCCTCCCTTGGACCACGTTTCTACGATGAGCTGTGCGTCCCATCCGGCCGCCATCGCTGATACCAACTCCGCTACGCTCGATTCCTGAAACAACTCACACTACACCCGAAATTAATTACTCTATCAACAAATCAGAAGCAGATTAATTCAAATAAAAAGAAATACGATTCTTCGTGCTTATATTTTAAAACTGTAAGGATATATGGTTACCGATTTAACAGTATCAAGGTAAGCCTTGGAGGCCCTTTCCGGGGACCAAACAAGCTTCATCTTATGTCTCCTCTTTTTGATTCTGTTACTTGATGAGATTCAAAAGTAATTTATTAGTTTATGCGTTGCTTTGCGGGCAAGTTTGAGGAGATACAAGAGAAACAATTGGATTATTTTAAGCTTGGAAAGCGACTCTCTAGAGAGGGCATAATTTATAACGGGAAGGGTGAGCAGTAGACATGGTCATATCAGCCGTTCACCGTTGACATTTATTTATGAAAGTATTATTATTATTATTATTTTTTGAATGATTTATGGAGTTTTATAACTTTTATTACGAACTACTGTATATATATTTATAATGCTAATGATTTTTTTACAGAAAAGTCCACGTGGAGATTAGGCTCTAAACTCGTACGGAGTATAAGTCATGCACTTTTTTTCAAAAAAAAAGTTAAATTATTAATTTATCGAATTGAGCTGTCAATCAGTCATCTCCCATTCGTTATCTGAAATTATCATGAAAATGGCGAGACTTCGTGTATACACCGAAAGGCTTACACGTCATGTTTAATCTATACATACACATTTTCCTTTTCTAAGATAGAATTGCAAAAAAAGTCAAAAACTTGATTGTGACAAAAATAAATGTTTGTAACAGTCAATTTATCCTAAGAAATGAAAAATTATCAACAAAGAAAATGAGGAGTGGAAATGACGTGTAAACATTTAAGTGTGTATAAAAAGAATTTAGGTGAAAACTCCGGTACCCATTTAAAAAATGGGGTACCGTACCTGGCCAACCATGCATTTGATTGGTCCAAATCATTATATCCTTTTAAATTTAGATTTAAATAATTCAACTGCATCATCTGATTGGTCCATGTGGACAAATGTATGATACCTTAAGGGTACCATAGAATCTACCAAAAATTTATTAAAAATACTTTTCGCTTTTTGTAAACACTTTCTATACCTATAAATATATTCTTTTTTTTTACTATTCGACTTTTTTGCTATTCCACTTTTACATTTTACCCATCCTCTTCCCATCCTTTCCCTCTCTCCTCTTTTTTCCCATATGATTCTCCTCCCAATTCACTCTTTTTGCCATTTTGGTGTATTTTTATCACCTTTGTCTTTCACCATCTTCACTCTTTATCCTCTTGTTCCTTCTTCCATCATTATCATCTTACATCATCATATTCATCACTTGCAATCTTCTCTGCTTCATCTTCTACGGAGTATTTCTTAAGTTTCGTCACAGATGGTGAGTCGTCGAAAAATCAAATTGGAGATCAACAATCGTTGAAACTATTGTTTGTGTCATCTATAAAATATTGTATGTGTGATCCTAGATATTAGTAAAATTTGCTTGTATAAAGAAATAAAAGTAAAAAATAGTATATATCTATGAAGTTAAGCCACAAACAAAAAAATGTTTGTGCACAAATAATCGAAGGAGAATGTTTGCTGGATTTTTTGTTTGTGTCAACTCTAAAATATTGTTTGTGTAGCGTTGAATATTTATATAAATTGTAAGTAGGAAAAAATGAAACTGAAAAACTACTTTTTTGTAAAGTTATGCCACATAAAAAATATTTATAATCGCATGTCATCCGCATCGATTTGTGTTCTTTTTTGTAGAGAAGTTATGATTAGGTTGCATAGAAACCAATGTGTGCACACACGCAAGTTTTTGGTGTACAAATATTAGTTATCTACAATAGGCAAAATTGTTAAGCACAAACAAAAAATGTAGAAATTATCTGTGTACAGACAACTAATGTCTATGCACAAGTATTGGTTTCCGTGCAAGCAGACACTGTAGTTTTAACAACAAAAAAAAGCGCGCAAACCAATGTCCATATACATGCATTAATCGTTTGCGACATACGAGAATGTTTGTACGGTTGTACCCATACATTTTTTCAAAGCCCACAAGAAAGTAGAACAGTCGAACTGGTTTACGGGTGTACGTCGATTGATATATTCCAGATCCAAGCTTATACTTTTCTCCATTTTTCTCGGGCTTGAGCTACCAAATTGGAAGTTAAGAGAATGGTATTACTGTTTTTTTAGTTTGATAAATATAATTTGTCCATACCATTAACTGCTTCCCTGATCAATCTGCTTCCCGTAACTTACAAATATCAGTAATACCATTCGTTCCAAACACTCGGTAAACACTTCAAGCTCCAAATCTACTCCAAACACTCTGTAATACCATTCGCTCCAAATGTCCAAGCTCCTTTTCAATTTGGAAGTTAAGGGAGCCTATGCCGTTACACAACAACCTCATTCATCTGAGAAGCTTATCCCAACCTTTTACACATCTACCTCAGAGAAGTCCAAAGTGGACCCTTCACATCTTATGCAAGCAGATTTTCCGAACGATAATTTCGACACTACTCCAAGAAATCTCCCATCGGAACAAGAAGCATTGGATCGGTTGACTGAGATCAAAATTGCTTCCATTCCAAAGAGGAGGATCATTCGCATTTGATCCAAGATTGCGCATGCTCTGCATTAATTTGTTAGGTTCCCTAGACTAGTATCTTTTCATTTTGGTTCCTTTTCTTTTCCGGTTCCTTTTCCTTTTCTTTCAATGCTTTGTTTTTCTTCTTTCCTTGCATTGTACTTCTTTCTATTACCAATAAAGTTTTTTCTTTCTTTAGAAAAATACTGAATGGTATTTCAAAAATATTAAGAATTTATCACTCTTTTATTTTTAGATTTGATAACTTTAATTTTAAGTCTAATTAAATATTCTACACTATGCCGACATTACAAAAATGTTAGGAATTTGTGATTCTTTTTTCTTATTAAATTTGATAAGTTTAGTTTTTACTTTAATTAAATGTACTACACTTTAAGGAAGTATTAATGTACTATATTAAAACACTTGATGCCATGATCACTACTCTTTATGGGAGTGTTAATGCTCTACATTAAAACACTTGATGCCACTTCTTATCATATATACTATATATATCGCATCAAAAAAAGGATGACACCCCATCAAATAAAAATTATTCACTGTGTTCACGATTAAAACACCCTTCACGTTTGTATTCCGATATTTGCAAAAAACCCACAACTGTTTTCGAAGGATTATTACTCCCCCCGTCCCATTTAAAGGTACACATTCACTATTTTCTCTGATCAACGTGAATTGTTCTTAATCTTTTACTTTATATATCCAATTTTTATCAAATTTAATTTTATTTGATCAGGTATTATAATTTTTTATGTAATTTCTAAATATGTAAATTTTATTTACTAAAAACAATCTTATTAATTACATGAATCAATATAATTTCTGAATATGAAAATTTTAGTTACTAAAAATAATCTTATTAATTACATGGATCGGTTAACTTTAAGATCAGTCAAACATCGTAAACCGCATGAGAATCAAGTGAGACAGGAGCATTTTGCATTTAGTAAAACCCACAGCCACATGGTTGCATTAAAGTAAGTGTGGCAATTGTAATTTGCACGCAAGCGGACCCATAGTTTCAGGCTTATCAGCAAACTTTTTCACCAAGCACGTAATTTCTGCTTTCGCACGCTGCATTGTGTAATAAGCAGAAAAAGTAAGGTTGGAGTTACTTTTCTGGCTGTATTGGCTGAATTTACTGTAGACTAGGTAGTTTACTCGCTACTCGGTAGCTACTCGGTCAAGGGCTGAGTAGCGAGTAGGATCGATTACTCGAGATTACTCGGTGATTACTCGGCCTAGTATTAATTAAATATAAAAAATATATTTAAATATAGTAGTCTTAAAATATAGTAATAAAATTGTCTTTAAATTGTCTTAAAATGCATAGAAGTGAATAAAAGGATAGAAATTGTCTTAAAATGCATATAATACGTATACAATACCAGAATACAACTTCAAGAAGCACGAGTAGTGGAAGAAAAGGCAAATATTTTTTGCAGTTTTTTGGCACCTATTCTTATTACAATTGAAGAACTTCAAAGTAACTTCAAAGTGGCACCTACCGAACAACGAGTCCTCAAAGGTAGTTCCCTAAATACAAATTGCAGCTCACCCAAAACCAAACATGATACTTTTTTGCTGAGCTATATTTTTCACCTTTCAATTAAGAGATTTTATTTCAGCATTCAACAACTCAGGTCTCAGGGGTACATTCAATACATTCACTTTAGTTGGCCAAAGACTTGAAAATGTACAATGAAAACATCAGTTTAAGAAGCACAAACAAACGAAGAACAATCCAAAATTCTTAGAGTTTATTACAGTATACAAAGAAGAATATAATAGGCAGCATGAGGGAGAATAAGAAACAACACAGGGGATAATCTCAATTTAATTTTTTTTCCAAGCGGAGGTATTTTTTTCTAAATACCGAGTACTCCCGAGTAAATCGCCTTTTTGACCCACTGACCGAGTTGGCTAACTCGTCGAGTACTCGGCGAGTAACTCGGAATAATAACTCGGGCCGAGTAATGTGCTACTCTGCAAGGTCATAGGCCGAGTAGGGAGTACTCACCGAGTACTCACCGAGTACTCGCCGAGTAAATAACCCAGACTGTAGATGACTATTTTAGCTATTTTTACATATAAATTTTTCTTTATTTTATTAAAAAAATATATTCTAAAAATATTTTTTTTAGAACTTCAGCTAATGCAGTCACTTCAGCCAGAACATAAATTTCAACAGAATCAGCCAAAACGGCCAATTTTCATGCTACCAAACGGGCTCATTATCTGCTTTAAAAACGGTGAAAACGGAGACATGGAGTAAGATAAAATTGCAACGCCAAGTAACCTCTCCCTTTATTTTTATTACTTGCGACAGTTATAGTTATAAGCACAAAATCTGTTGTAGCATTATTGGAAGTAACATCTTAAAACTGATACTACCTCCGTCCCACTATGTTTGGGACAAAGGGGCAAACGGGTGTGACACAACTTTTAATAAAAAGTGGAATTGTGTGGTTAGTATTGAATTGACAAAGTATGAATAAAGTAAGAATGAATTGTAACCATCCAAATATTACCAAATATGGTACTCCCTCCGTCCTAGTGGAGTTTGCCAACTTTTCCTTTTTGGTTGTCCCAAAAAACTTTGCAACTTTCATATTAAAGCAACTAATTTATGGTTTTGCACATTTCTCTCTCTTCTGCACAAATCTAAACCACACAGTTTTTACTATTCTTATTTCTCACCTATTTTGCACTTGGCAAAGTCCACCGGGACGGAGGTAGTATGAGACAAACTTAATGGGACGGACGAAAAAGGTAAAATGGGACAAAGTTAGAGGAACGGAGAGAGTATACATATCAAAACTGAACATTTTGAAACAGGTGATGCACAACCAAAAATCAACTAGGACCGTATGAAGAAAGATCTTTCTCCATCACAAACACAACTCAATTCAGCTTACATATGTATTCATTTTGGTCTTTACGTGACCATAATGTACAAAGTAATTCTTTTTCTATACTAAGCATCTAAACTCCAAACAATACTTTTCGACTAATGCAGAATATCCCGAGGCCACCATATTTTGTTTAGTACTGAAAAATATGCGGACTAGAAGCAGGAACAGAAGTTGATTCCCAAGGAGTTGATTCCTTGACGTATGAGAATGTGTATGTGGTGGTGCCAATGGCGGCAGGCCTGTACCTTCTGGAACAAGTGGCGGTTCGTCTGCTTGGGAAGTGCTTTCTGAGTTATTATTATTACTGTCATCCCTTGATTTATCATCTGAATTTCCACTTTCATTTTTAGGTTCATTTGGACTTCCTCCGCCATTACCATCTCCATAATTGCTCCTTACCAAGTCAGGTCGTGCTTCAACACCAACTCGTCTCAAGTGCAGCTGTTTTCATTGGACATTCAACATTGGGGCTTGTTTGGTTGGTAGATTTTGAAGCAAAGGAGAGGAGCGTATTGGCTTTTTTTCTAATTTATCTCTATTTTTTAGTCTTAGATGATAACATATCTAATATTCTAATTTCTAAATAATCTACTTTCGTACTACCATCATACGTAAGAATAAATTAATAAGATTTTATTGTTCCAACACCCCTCAAATAAATAAGAGTCAATGCAATGCTGATACCTGAAGATGGAGATTTACTTCGTCGGGCCGTGAAAGGAATGGAAAATCACCGCCGGTCTTCAGGTATGCTTGTCTAGCACCAGGGTACCTTTCTCTAACTTGATCTTTGAGTTGTTGTGGGGTTGCACAGTAATCATTTGTCTTCACCAAGCAGCAGAAAAAAACATCATGAAAGAGATTTGAAAACAGGCACTGTTTGAGGGAAATAACTACTGAAAAATATTTTCCTATAAAAAGAAGTTTTTATATCACTACATGTACTCCGTATAAAATAATGTTTCATCATTACCCCAATGCCCCAAAGGCTTCCACCTACGGTGGGGATAAAATAATGTTTGATCCACAAAAATAAAAAAGGGAAAATCGCATATATGGTCCCTCAGTTATCCACAAAATTAAAATCTCAGACCTGTATTTCTGAGATAGTAAATGTCACCCCTCAATTGTCCATAATGTTGTAAATGTGGTCATTTTGAGGGTGAAATATACAATGTGGGCGAGAGTACATTTCACTACTTAAAGGACCACATTTACACCAATTTGGACAATTGAGGGGTGACATTTACAATCTCAGAAATATAGGTCTGAGATTTTAATTTCATGGATAACTGAGGGACCATATATGCGATTTTCCCAATAAAAAAACATAAAACTGCTTCAGAAAATTGAAGTCATTTTTCATTAACAGTTTAAAGAATGAAGGAAGAAAGAATTTTCCAGTGGCAAATACAGGCAAATCTTTCTCTTGTGCTAAAAATAGGAAGTTTAAGAAAATGTTTTCAAGGAAAATAATTATGAATTCAAAAAGCGCCTAAGAGTAAATTCTTTCACCATTTACATGTGTAATAGATATGAGAGCACAATATCAGTATGATATAAATATAATGAGTGGTAGAGCACCTAAAAAGAATTAAATTATTTCAACCTATAGAAACTTCTAACCCATAAAAACTTACATACATCCATTATGGTGATCAAAGAATCGGGGAGGAGAAGAGGTCCAACTGAAGCAGCATCTGCGGTTAATGTTAGTCTAGATCCCAGGTCATCTTTAGAAAGTGATTCAACCTGCATTAAATATTATGAATCAATCTTATTTTAAAGAGGTTGTACATATTTTACACTACTTCATATCTGTGTGGACAAAGTTATTAAGGAAGATAACTTAGAAATATTAACTTATTTTTAAAAAACTAAATATTTAAAAAGGCGATAAAAAATTTACCTGGGAAACAACAAAATCAACAGAATCTGCAATAAAGGGTTCTTGGGGAACATCCCTGATTCCTGTTAGGACATAGCGCTTCAGAAGAAAAGCAGGTGTCCAGCCAACACTTCATCAACAACACCAAAACAGGAAGAAATTCATCTTTCAAGGCATGAAAATTCTGAAAGTACATAAACAGCTTCTTTTCTGTAGAGTATATTGCATTCGTTTAGTGGGTTTGTGAAAAGGTTCTTTTCGGCATTTTTGGTGAGTTGAGAATGAAAAGTACATGAAAAGTTTCTGAAATCGACTCTTTTGAAGAGTTGTATTAAACATTTCTAAAGCATACGCATAACTAGTCCATCTCTTTCATGCCTCTGGCACACTGAAAACAGCTTCATGTGCCTCCATCTGCTGCCCATATCACCACTTACCAGCGTGTTGGGGCTTTTTTGGCAACATCCTGCCCAGAAGTTTTCTAGGATTTTCTTTGGGCTTGTTCTCGTACTATTTACCATTAGGTTATGTTTGGATCATAGAAACTGGTAAGGAAAGAAAGACAGAAAACAATCCAAAGGGAGTTGATTTCTTATGTTCATCTTTAACCCGTAAAATATAAAGGAAAATGAATAAAAATTAAAAGCAAAACCCTGTATATGACATTTCTTAGTTGTCTTTAGATAATAGAAATAAATAAATAAATAAATAAATAAATAAATAAATAAATAAATAAATAAATAAATAAATAAATAAATAAATAAATAAATAAATAAATAAATAAATAAATAAATAAATAAATAAATAAATAAATAAATAAATAAATAAATAAATAAATAAATAAATAAATAAATAAATAAATAAATAAATAAATAAATAAATAAATAAATAAATAAATAAATAAATAAATAAATAAATAAATAAATAAATAAATAAATAAATAAATAAATAAATAAACAAATAAAATAATTTTGAACAAACATCTAGGTTACTTTATTAGTTTGGGTAGTTGGGTCTATGTCTTTTATGTCCTCAATTCCTCATTTTTTTTCCTTCCCATTTTCCTCTACTTTTTCCATCAATAATATCTGGGCTCCGAACATGCCCTTAAGGTTTGATGGTCATCGATACCAATGGCTTCAACGAGAACTCTGCATCAAAAGTTAATACATCAACCAGTACTTTTATCCTTAATCTCTCTGGTAATCAATTCAATAATCCTTGTAAAGTCAAAATTTGAAATCAAGTTCAAATTTGATGGTTGAGCAAAAAATACATGGTCCAGTTTAAACATTGAACTTCAAGAAAAAAATTCAAATTCAAAGTCCTAATTTTAGAGTTCAAAGATTGAATTCAAGTCAAGATGAGTTTCAAGATTAAAATGCAAGATGTGTTTCTAGTGTTTGTCTAATATGCACAATCATATCATATGTCATCCTCAAAAGTTTGATTTGGCATAAAAAACAAAACACTTCCTAAATTCAATAATATTTAATTGCACAGTTTATTCAAGAGTTTAGCATCATTGAGCTGATCCTTCGGAGTTCAGAAAGCTTAAACTCGTGCTTAATATCAAATAGCTTACACTGGGGCCCACGGCATAGCAGCAGAGAAACTGTTTGTGTCCAAAAATGTGTTAGACAGTAGCAATGACCTAACACGTCGTGGGCGATGTTGAGTGAATAACTGTGCTAAGAATCCTCCAAGGGCTGTACCATATAGATGTATCTGTCCAAACGAAAGTCTATGACCAATCAAAGTGTGACTTAGTAAATTGTAATTAAATCATGCAGTCAATACTATAGCTAGTGGCACTGCCAGTTGCCACAACTATTGTAGACCAGACATTTGAAGATGGACAATTACAAATTTATGCTCTTTTTGGGAACCAAAGGTGGCTTATTTTAGTCTGCTTATTCTATTTATCTCTGAAATAAACAAAATAAATATATTTTGACTTATTTGGCTGAAATGGATGTTATCTTGCACTTTTCCTTTCAGAAAACTCAGCAGACGTACCCGTATATCAGCCAACTAACCCTTGCAAAATGGGATCTTATTCCCCCAAATGGTTTGACATTACGTAATTCGAGGCATCTTGCTAAACTTAGTCACCCATCTGTTACTATTGAGATACAAATAGTCTCCCCTGTTAAATTGACTACCTATAAATATTATTACCTCCGTCCCATTGGACATTGCAAACTTTGAGTTGGGGTGAAATAAGAAAAGTAAAAATTGTTTGGTTCATACTTGTGCAGAGGAGAGACAAATAAGCTGAACTACAAATTTATTACTTTAAAAGGAAGGTGACAAAGTTTTTGGACAAACAAAAAGGGGAAGTTGGCAAAGTCCAATGGGACAGAGGGAGTAGTATTTATGAACAGCATTCTTCACATTAGATATTGCCCACAATATCCCATAATAAACCTTAATATTTAATACTAGATGACAATGCTCTAATTTTATCTCAGTAATAAAAATTGATTAGTTTATGTACATCTATACAAAATCCGATAAGGGTCTCAAAAAGTAACTAATAATACAACCTTCCCTTATATTAAATACTCCGCATATTTTATGACTAAATTTTGTCTCGACAAGATATGCATTATGTTAGGTGAGAGAGGACAAGGTTTTCAAACTTGACAAGCCAAACACAGCTCAAGTAGACAGTACTCAAAAGCAAGTAGGCTGAATTTGATCCACATGACATTATGGCAATAAACTTTGTTCTCTCTGACACTAAGTATGACATTTGCAAAAAATACAGAGAGAGGGAGAGAGCGGTGCACCAATGTCATAGAAACCTTACATGGTGAACATCAATAGTATCTAGAAACTTCTCAAATGTTTGAACCCACTCATGATGGTTCCATACACGAGCAATATCAACCGAAATTACACGATAACCCTGAAAATAAATACCATTATTTGAGAGTTCGATTCAAATAAATATCCTATTAGAAACATAAAACAAAAAAACTCAAGTTCAACTGAATTTCACTTTGCCTCAATATTCACTAGGGAACTGAGATCAAATGGGGTGGAAAAATTGTAATAATGTGCATGTTTTGTCATGACACCCGTTTGAAAAAGATCATATAATGGTTTTCGCGTAACATATGTATTTTGGTTAGGAAAACTATCTTCTCCTTGTTTTATCTTTTCCCTAGTTATATCACTCCAAATAATTGTTATAAGAACAGAGAGAAGCAAGAAAAAAGGCTTCAAAACTACTACCTTCGTGGACAATGACATGACTTGTTTGTAATATACATCAGCTGTTCCTGCTATACCAGGAAGACAAATGAGTGGAGGAACTACTTTGGGGCCAAAATCATAATATCGCCATTGCCTTGACCCAATCTGCAACAAGATCGGAGGTAAATTGAATGCAATCATGTGCATGTGTGTACGATATAACTACAAGCTGTCATCTTTGTTAACTAAATTTACATTTTATGAAACTGATGTTGAAAGCAAACCTCGTATTACAGAGTACCAGCCCTAATCCAGATAGCCATTTTCATCAATAAATGGAAATGTAATCCCTAAGAGAACTTCAAGAAGCTTACTTAATGTGTTCTAACAATTGCAAATTTGCAAGATTGCAGCTAGAGAAGCTTGTACGATAGTAGATCAAGTTAAGAGTATATGTCCAAAGCAACAACCAAACGTTTTATTCATAAATTCTTCATGATGATATGCCGATACAATTACGTAATAATTCACAAAGCAGAATACGTAAGAAGAAAATGAATAGCAGATGGAGATAAGAATCGAGGGTACAAATTCCAAATTTCGTAAATTCGTGTACAAAGAAAACAGTAAGACAAATTAAGATTACAACATACTTACAGGGATCTTATGAAGAGGGACCTGAGACTTGAAGTAGATGTAATCCCCGGGCGCCGAGAAGACGCCTTTCATAGCTCAATCTCAAACCCTTCTCTCTCGGCGTGAAGAGCATTAGCTTCTAAAGCTTGCAGGAGATCAAAGAAGGGGAAGCTGAATTTCGATCCCGGGTAGTTTGGTTGATATTTCCGCCTACAAAATATTAAAGGACCAATTAACCCACGTGGAGGGACCCCTCTTTCTCCTACCAGGTTGTCTACACTCTACATCCGGAACCCGGTTATCCGATTCAAAACGGTGTGGGATTGACAAAAATAAGACTAGAAGTTCGTAGGGACAAAAAAGAGACTTAATGCAACTAAAACACCCAAAATGCCCCCAGCCCCAAAATTCGTAGGGACACTTTTTTCTCAAACACTACCAACTTTTATTATTAATCACTTTATCCAAATCACTTCAAAAAATCACTTTTTAAAGTTGAAGCAACCGCAAACACTCTCTAAGACTTATCCTAAATTTATCCCGAATTGCAATGATTTGAGACAACTCATTCTCATCAGTGCAATGCACACAATAAAATGTAGTAAAAATATATGAGAGTGAATTATCAGTAACATCAAAGTATTGATACAAATATATTTGTATACTACATCCGTAACGTTGGAATCTTCACAAATTGAAAGTGTGTGAGATTATGAATAGTGATTGGTGATATAAATTATTGAGGGTATGATGGGAAGATAATAAAATAGTATGATTGAATGAAGGATAAATCCAAAAAAGTAAGTGTAATAGTGTGTTATTTTTAAAATTATTGAGAGTATGATGAGAAGATTTAGAAATGGAATATTATTTAGTTACGGTTAAAAAAGGGAAGTTGGAAAATCTTTATGTTACGGGGGTAGTATAATTTGTAAATTTATACGGTTAGAAAAATATATTTTTGAATAGGGTACATTTTAATTTTTTGTAGCCAAAAGAAATGTAGATATTATTAATAGTTCAATACATGAATAATAAAGTTTGATCCGATTTACCATCTCTACCGCTCATCCCTCCGTTTCGAGCTCTTCTTCCCCTCAGGTCGGACGCAGTCTACGCCACGCCAGTTCGTATAGCATCCCGAGAGCATGATGGATTTGTCAAATCCTGCGGTGTTTGTCAATGCTGAGATATTACGTATGCACGTGGGACGGAGGGTTCGGGCAGTGATTCAGGTTATTCGCTCTGATGGTGGCACAGTGACTGGAAAATCAACAGATGAGCAGCAGATATTCATCAAAGGTGTTGCTCCTGGTCCACTCTCCACATTTGTTGAGGTTATTGGCATTGCCGATAGTCCCCAATCAATCCGTGCTGATATATGGACCAACTTTGGGGACACACTCGATACAGTTAGTTACAACCGCGTTTGTGAACTTGCCAACAGGGAGTATAAGCACCTCTTCATCTGAGGATCTATCTAATCTAGGTTTATGATGCTGTAGTTCCATTTGTTTAGCACTTCATGAACATAGTACATAAGAATGTTCAAATGATGGTATTTCGAGTCTTAACGGTCTGTTTTGGTAACGACACTGATTGGAGGGCATCATTCAACAAGCATTGTTATAATATGTGTTCGTATATTCCGTACTGCAAAACACCTAAATGTTCTGCCATGCAAAAAAAAAAAATAAAAAAAAAATAAAGTTAGGAGGAAAAGCACTCCAAAAATGCTTTCAGACATAGAACAAGCCGCTTGAGCCAAAGCATGAGCCGCCTTGTTCGCTGAACGCCTAACATGAGAAAACGAAATCTTCGTAAAAAACACTCATAAACCTCTAATGTCCCCCGCCAAGACCCCGACTAAGGAATCACTAGACCCATTCAGAATTTTTGAGATAGCCCTTGAAGCATCAGATTCAATATCAACAAAATCCCATCCTTTATCTTTCATCCAACTGAGGGCTTCTCGAATACCCACCAGCTCCGCTCCCCATGGCGACAAACAACCGCGCCAAGGCTTTGAAGCTCCGGCCACAAACTCCCCATCTTCGTTTCAAACAAGCCATCCCAAAGCAATACAATCATCCTTAACCGCTGCATCCACGTTTAATTTCAGTCTTCCAGGTAATGGACGTTTCCATTTATCACCACCACTGAACCTTGATTGTTCTGCACTCGACCTTGCTGTTGCGCCAAATCCCAACCTTCAACAAAAATCTGGGACTTCAATAGCACTATCTTTGCATCAGACTTCTCCCCGTTCCAGATCCTATTATTCCGTTCACATCACAAACCCCAGCAACCCCAAATCAGTTTATACAACTCCTCTTCTTTTTTAATTTGAAAATCAACCTGAATTTGGTCTAGGAAGCAAGCCGCCTATCAAGGCGCCCAGTTCCACCCCACATCACGCCACGCCTCAAGAGCTACGGGGCAAAAAACGAATAGATGCAACAACGATTGTTCAGCACCTCCACACAAGCCACATATCTCGGCGCAGCTCGCCCTTTTCCGTCTCAAATTGGCTGTTGTTGATAGGAAGCCGCAACATACCTCCCAAAAGAAGCTCTTAATTTTAGGGGGTAGCTTCCACCCCTACATCGACATCCAGCCAGTCCAAGCACCGGTCCCCATCTCGCCTACCAGAGCCCTGTAGTAGCTACGAACAGAGAAACGGCCTGAGTCCTTCCACTTCCAGCACACCTTATAGGAATCTGTCTAAGGTTAATTGGAATCCCCTAGATCAAATGAACACCCCGCCGCACAAACAAATCTCGAAGCAAGTCCAAATCCCACCTGGAACCATCTTCACATCTAAGGCTCTCCACCGAAGCTTGTTCCATTCCCAATACAGGATCCGAGACCACCTTTGGAGAGCTTCGGTCTGGAAGCCACGGGTCACACCATATATTGATATCATTCCCCTCCCCAACGCCAATAGTAGCCACTCCGGATGATATCCTTTGTTTGAATGATGCTCTGCCTAATAAAAGAGGGATTAGTACCAAGTTTGGCCGGCAAAAAATTCCCGTCCCGAAAATAACATGCTCTAAAAATCTTCCCCGCCAAAGATTCTGGCTCAGAAAAAATACGCCAAGGCTGTTTAGATAACATAGATAAATTAAATTCTCGCAACTTCCTAAACCCCATCCCACCAACTTTCTTTGGACGACACCAAAAATCCCAACCACTCCAACGAATTCCATTATTAGTCTTCCCCTGCCACCAGTCAACAGGACCTCAATTCCATTGCATAATTCTTTCGGGAGAAGAAAGACGTCCATTGCATAGTGATGGACGGTGTACCCGGTGGATAGCTTATCCGAGGGGTTATTATGAGAATAACCTAGAGAGAAGTCAGAGCAAACAAGTAGGAGAGAGAGGAGATTGTATTAATAACTCGAGATGTCTTGGGATCATTTACAATGGGGAAATGGGGCGCTATTTATAGTAGCAATAAATGCGATGAGAGTACACATGGCAATAATCCGAAGGCCGAGGGGTCACCTCAATCGGGTGGCACTGGCAGTCGCATGTGCTCCGCATTGAATGCGGTGGGTGGATGTGACGTTGCATTAAATGCGGTGGTTGCTAGTCTCCAAAGGGAATCTTTTCGATGATTGAGTTGATGGCCGAGGGCTCCCCCTGCGGCCGAGGGCCTGTGTAGCCGAAGGCGTCGTATAGCCGAAGGCTTCCCTGATTGAGTTGGTAACCGAGGGCTACTGCATAAGCCGAAGGCTATTGGTAGCCGAGGGCTACTATTTTACGTCGTTTCCTCCCAGTAGCTTCGTATGCTCAAATCTGGCTGCCCTGCGTGATTTGGAGCCTTCGGCCAAGGAGGCCAAAGGCACCCCAGTGTGTATTTTGGGCTTCTTTGAGACTTGGGCCGCTGTATTTGGGCTTTGAATGCTCCTTGGGCTCAATGGGTCTGTGTAGGAGGAGTAGGAGTCTATGGGTCGGGGGTTCCTGGGCCATATACTCCATCACATAGGTTGGCATGGCCTGGATGACTGACTTAAGCAACACCTCCCGACCTGCTCTTAACATTAACCGATTATTCCAACTCTGATACGGTTAACCATTCTCTATCTAAGATAAGATAAGATTAGAAAGCTTTTTTATTTATCCCTATTAAGGCCGGTAACCCTAGATAAAACTCCTCACTTCCAGCCAAACCCTTCCCTGCACTCCGCCGAAACATTTGAACTAAAGAACATCTTTGATTTATTTAAATTAATTACCTGCCCTGAAGCTAGAGAACACTTGCTTAGAATTTCCTTCACAGTAGACGCTTCACTATGTGTGGCCTTGAAAAACAACAGGCTGTCATCGGCAAAGAATAGAGTGAAATTCTAGGAGCTCCCTTAACAACTGCAACTCCATGCAAACTACAAGCCGCCTCAATTATCTTCATGAGAGCACTCAACCCTTCTGCAATTAAAATGGATAAGTGTGGAGATAAAGGGTCACCCCGAACCAACCCACGAGTAGGAATAATGGGGCCCAATTCAGTATCATCAAACATGATATAATAAGAGACTAAGGACACGCATTTTATCACCAAACGCACCCACTGATCCTCAAACCCCGCATGCCTTCCAGGAAAGACCACTCAACCCTATCATACGCCTTACTCATTTCCAATTTTTGACTGACAAGACATACATTTCCTTGAGTTTTGCGTTTCAAATAATGTTGAGATTCAAAAGCAATCATGATAGTATCAATAATAGATCTACCCAAGATGAACACACTCTGTTGCTCCGAAATACAAAAGTGCAAAACCTCTCTCAATCTATTAGCCAACACTTTAGAAAAAATCTTATAAATGACATTACAGAGAGCAATGGGCCTCCAGTCCCCGATAACCTCCGGATAACATCCGGATTATCCTTCTTAGGAATTAAAACTAAATTTGTATGATTAATCCTATACGGGAGCTTACCTGAGTGAAAGGCCTCACGGCAGAACTTGGTCACTTCCGGCCCGACCAACCGCATCCCAATAATGCTGCAAAAAGCCCGGGGCTTAACCCATCTGGACCTGGGGGTTTTTTCCGGATGCATGTCAAACACAACCGCTTTAATCTCATCTCCTCTAATGGGACGAGTGAGAGAAATATTATGTGTCACCTCCAATTTTCTAGGCACACTGTGAAATATGGAATCACTTGTACTCTACACAGAAGAAAAAATATCAGTGAAATAATTGTCAATCAGTTGGCCAATCTCATCCCTGTCGGATTCCCAACCACCTCCATTCCAGCCTCAAGCCCTCTATCCTGCGTCGCTGCTTCACGGAGTTATGGAAGTAACGGGTATTTAGCCCCCCAAACCAAAACTCCTTAGCTCTCTGTCGCCAAAATAAGTTCTCTCGTTCAAGTAAGTCTAAATATTCTCGTTTAACCTTCTCAAAAATCTATGGGTGCCATGCATCCGAGAACCTGCGTAGATACTACAGATGTTTCTTGCAGAAACAAATTCTTTTTCCCAGATAACCCACCTTCGTTTTGCCCCACTCCCCTATGGACTTACTGCAAATATCAATATGCTTCAAAATCCCCGAGCCCGCAGCCAAGCCCCAGCTCCTCGCCACAATGGAACGACAATCTTCATCTCTTAACAATATATTTTCAAACTTGAACTTGCTACGTTGGTGAAAGTTATGGGTCGTAGATAATTTAATTTGATGAGCAAAGCTAAGTGATTACTTGGAGCACCCTCTACCGATTCCGCCACCGCCCCACCAAAAACATCAAGCCAGTCTGACGTTACCAAAATCCGATCAAGTTTTTCCTCCACCCAATTCGGTGATCCCCTCCACCGTTTCCAGGTGAACTGATAACCCTGAAATGGGAAATTTTGCAGCCCACATGACCACACCGCCTCACGAAACCCCCTAAGTAACCAAGAGGGATGAAGGACTGATAAGTTCGTATTACAACACGCATTTGATGCGTGTTGGGGTCAGATTTTATGGTTTTCCTAGCTTTAAGGTGTTACAAGTCTCAATTTTAGCTCAAGTTGTGTTTAACAGGCGTTGGTTCGAGTTTTGTGTCATTTGGAGTCAAAATCAGGAATTTAAAGTTTGGCACCGGCGCTTGAGGAGAAATCAGGATGATTCGAGATGCATTCTAGATTGTTTTGAGAGATTTGGAGGTCACCGGGAGGTTCACGATGAAGATTTGATGGCAAAAGAGCTCTAGGATTGGCTACGGGATCAAAAGATTACGAATAAAGCTTGAAAATGGCGATCAGGATGACCTTCTGTCAATCGTTCAAGCATATCTCTATGTAGAAGCATTTAAAGGACACGATTCAAGTTCTATATCAAAGCCAACTTCAAGGGCTACAAATCATATGCAGACACCATTACGAGAATATGAGAGGAGCAAGGTGGAAACAAACGATGACGTCAGATGATCTCTGTTGCGATTTCAGAATGCCATCCTCCACCATTTTGATAATATCTTTTGATTGGATGATTCAAATCCAATTTTACAAGTTGTGGTGGATAGAGAACTTCATTATATACAACTTTCATGAAGGAAGCATCTTCAAATTCTGAAGTTTCACGCATGTCGTGCGAAGGGGAACGCACAACCGTGCGTCCGAGGCGAGAAAGCAAGGAGGCTACTGCCAGCCACACATGGCCGTGCGTGGGGGGGGGGGGGGGGGGAGGAGCACGCCGGATGCACAGACACCACGCACGCCGTGCATGCCCCGGATCATCAGTCCTGTTTCAGCCCGAATTCGTTGTTTTCTATAAATAAGGCCCCCATAACCCCGTTTTGGGGTTCGGGAACTGAGAGAGAGGCCTAGGGACGAGATTTACGTTGTTTTTTCGCTATTTTGTTCAAGACCCTGGGATTATTTGTAAGTTCATTCTTTTTAACTAATGACAATTAATTCTATTCATCCCAATTCTGTTGATTCTTCAATTATGAGTTGTGAGTAGTTTAATTAGGGATTTGGGGTTGATGAAGAGGTTAATCATGATGTATGGTTAGTTTCTGGATGGATTAATTGCATGAATGCCGTTTAATTTGTGTTTGAATAATTTAATTGATATCTCTTGTAACCTAGATTGCAGCTAGAATTACAATTGCTTGTAGAATAAATTAAGAGAAATTTAGTTTATTCTAGGACACATTCACACACACTTAATCGTTTGCTAAGAGATTAGTAGCGATTAAGGGGCCATAAGCTCGCTCGTTTTGACAATAATTTAGGATCCTGTCGCATGAGAGATCAGTCTGCCCCCTAAATTATTGTACTCTACGCCGCGAGAGCGGTAAGAACTTAGTAATGATTAGCCATTTTCAATTAAATTAAATTCATGTAATTAAGCCTGATCTGCCAGAAATCTGGTTACCCCGGAATCAATCCTTGTTCCCTTCATCGTTAATTAGAAACAAACCAATCTTTTATTTTAATCATTCATCCGCATTAGTTTAATTTTCCAAACCAACCAATCTCGCACATCACATTTATTTTATTTATTTCTTTTTAATCGCTGAATTTAGTTAATCTTAATTCCCTTTTGTTCGTCCATGTGGAGGCGATACTCGTACTTTCAACCACTTTTCTACAACCTTTTTAAGTGCGAGAAAACTCACATCAGGGACTCGCCCTCGTTTGTCAGAATCCATCATGAGATCATTAAAGTCCCCCATTACAATCCAGGGAAGATGAGGATTCGTACTTAAGGATTTCAAGATCTCCCAAGACTCCCTTCGCCGACTCCATTCCACCCTCAATCTAGTAGCAAAAGTTTCCATCAAGAAAACTGAAGACGGCTTCTTCAGATGGACCAAATCCACCAAAACTTGAACTATCGCAGGATTGCTGAGCCCATGACAGTTCCAACTGAAGCAACTCATTGTTCTCGGCGAGCCTGCCACCCAGGACCCGCAACCTCTCCGTTTTTTTAGAAGTTAACATCCATGTCCATGGCGTTCAAACCATGCACCCCAAACTGAGACCATCCCGCTTTCTCTTCTTTAGAAGCACACATGTGGAGGTTGATAAGTCGAGCAGGTCGTCCTCCCCCGAATCTTGCCCCATCCTAACGGTCACTTCATCCCGCACCCACTCAATCCTGCTGCCATGACCTGCTTCATCCAGAGATTTTCCTTCGCCATTCACTAACTGCCTGCTGCCCCGTCCCATTCCTCCTCACCTGCCTGCCTTGAGCCAAGCGCCAAACTGCCTTGGTTGATCACCCTCCTCTACCTCAAAGCGCCGCAAATAGAATTTATCAACGTGGCTCATGTGACCGCATATAAAGTAAAAATGCGATAACCTCTCGTACTTCACATCTACCAGTAAGGATTCGCCCCCCTCCTCAAAGTTAGTTTGCTTCTCAAAGGTTTGTTCACATCCAGAGAAACCCTAATCCGCATGAACTTCTTGCAATCACATTTGAAATTGTGGTTGTCCGCTTGAATAAGGGTCCTCAGCCGGGTGCCAATTAATTCCGCCGTCTTCTCGGTAAAATAACGCATTGGCAACTTCAAAATCTGGACCCAAAAATCCTCATGAAGTAAAGGAACCAAAGCTGGGTCCTCTTCTCCCTCCACCTTGCATAAGATCAGCAGATTATTTTCATAGGACCAAGGCCTGTCAGTCAGAATGTGTTTATGTCCCCCTAGTGAAAGAATTGAAACAAAAATCTTCCATCCCCAACCTCCCATATATGCACTCCCTTTCCTGGTCTCCATATATCCGCAATAACATCACGGAAGACATCAAATTTAATTGTTCTTCCTGACAAAATACGACTCACAATACAAAGTCGTGCTTCCTCCGGTAATTCTTGGACATCAGAGTCCTCCAACTCCACGTTGACTACATCCTCATCATCCAGATTCAGCTGAGCACACATACTCTCCATATCTTCCGCCATGCAAACGCCCAAGAGAGAGAAACGACGTAAAAATCGAAGAAAAATGATCAACGCTACAGAGCGGCGGCGCTAACCTTAGACCCACCAGGGAAGGAAAGTCACATGTATTATTTCTTCCACTCTCTTTTATTTCTCTACAAATATATATTGAAAAAATGGCCTTTCAATTGAAAGAAAGAAACTCACCCTTGGGATTCAATTAACTCCAGATGTATGTTGGTCGAGTGCACTTTGAGTCTTATCAGCTTCCCGCATCATCAACCCCAACTCTATTAACACAACTCTCTCTTTACTTTGAAGAAAAGGATGGGTCTTGATGCAATCAAAAGTTTTTCCTTCAATTGTGTGAATAAGGTACATTTTAATATAATTTTTATATTCAAATTAATTTCATATTAAAAAATATCATGAGTCAAAATTGATTAACATTGACCATCAACAATCAATTTGGCAAACCTTTATAGGGCAGATGGAGTAATGTTTTTGATAGCTTCCCAGTAAACTACTAGTGATATTGCTTAGAAAGAATGAAGAGCTAACAATATAGAGAGAGAAAGAACTTGCAATAAATGAGTTGCGAACCCCCTACAACTATCCCCAAAGGGGTATTTATAGAGGGAATAGGGATTGGACTCCTAAGTCTTGGGCCTGCGAGGCCCAATTACAATAATGAGCCTCTAATGAGCTGTTTACATGTGTTATAATCTGTCAAGGATATAATGATGATCTCTGCTAGCGATGGGGCCGAGGTGCATGGGTGCACCTCAGTCGTGGTGATGGAGATCCCTGGATGAGCTCCTAGTGGCCTGTGGCTAGTGGCCGAGGTGCGTTCCTCTGAAGTGCACATGCCGAGGTGATGGTACATACTCTTCATTCTGGATTCGGCTCTCTAGCTGGGCCTTCTGGCGCTGGTGTGGATTTGGGTCGTCCGTATGTGCAAGAGTATGTGGGTCGTGGGTCCAGGCCCATATACTCTATCAGTTTTAATGATGAAAATAAGTTACAAATAGGTCAATGTTGTGTTTGTTACGGATGAAAACTCGTGTGGATAGCTCTAAATATTTACTCGAGACTTCTAGTATCAAATCCATTGATCTCTTAGTCCTGCCATTTATAATGTGTGTGATGAAGTTTAACTCCATCACTACGACGTGATAGAGTGGTTCTTCAGCCTCGTAATCAGCACAGACGCCCCCGACCTCAGGCACAAGCACAACCACATGAGCTTTATGATGATGATCATGTTGACTTATGATATATGTACTTTACATTATTGTGCTAAACATGAACTAGCTGATCGATTTATTTTTTGAAACATTGGATTTATTATCAACTTTATCTGATATTTATAGTATTATGATCCAATGTAGTTTATTGATTCGTTTTGTGTCTCAGATATGTTTTGATTTTTTGAGCTCTATATTGACTATAAAGAGTAGATGTTTGGTGTATGTGAGTTGATTGTACTGTAACGAGCATGTTTTTTGTGTCTTTTTAATTAAATAAGCTGGTGTGGTAATTACAAGGCAGAAGAGCTGCCACTTTGAGTGGCGGCTTTTGTACTATAAGAGAAGAGGCGTCAATTCTAATAATGTAATTATATATGGACTACGATGTAATTTCTAAATGGTTTTTTTTAGTATAAATATAACCTCAAGGCACCCAATAGGGTAAGCCATTATTTCCCAAAAATTATTGTTTCGTACTATCTTCCGCTTTATAATTCTTGCAACAGTTTGACTTTCACGTTTACCAATGCACAACTTTGACTGTAATTATATTTAATTATGTATTAGTAAATATTATAAAAAGTTGATATTTTGAAAAAATTCACATTGATAAGAGTTCAATAACATTTTATACGTAATAATTTGATTATGTATATTAGTAGAAAATCATGGTCAAAGTAAGATCTGTGAATAGTGTAAAAATCACAATGTTGCAAGAATTATAGAACGGATGAAGTATATGGTATCAGAGCCCATTCCGGTTGTGGTTTGACGGCTTGTTTAGCATCCATGATTAATGGTAGCTTGTTAAGGGTTTGTTTGGCCCGTTTATATTCCCCGATATTGTCCAGCCCGGTTCGGGCTGAGGGGGCGTGTTGAAGCATTTGTCCCATACCGGAAAGCTATAAAAACAATTAAACACTATATAAGGCTTTGAGCTACTCCTCCTATCAGGTTGACCTTTTAGGATGGAAACTCGAGTCTTAACAAATTCGAGTGACGGTTTTTGTACTGTAAGAGAAAAACCACCACTTCGAGTGGCAACTTTCTTTGATCACAATTAACCCAACATTATTTTGGGAATTATTTTTAACCCGATGTATTTTAGGAATTATTTTACTAATTAGCATTTTCGAGATAAAAGTCGTAAAACTCAGAGTTGTAATGGAAAAAAGGTTTGTTTGTACTCCCTACAATACGACTCTTATTTAAACTGGGCTGACTGGAGAAATCATTACTACGCCGAAGTGGTGAAGCACGGCCATCAATAAAATGGACGGCAAAAACTTGGTTGTAATTCTTCTCTCGGCGACACTTGTTGTCGTTATGGTATTTGTGACACGACTCCCGGCGACGCTGCGAAGCACCGCCGGCCTTCTGGACTGCTCCCCGTGGTGCACTTCCTCCGACTTGAAGGACTCCACGCGCCTCCTCCACGTTTCCGGCGACGACGGGCCGCGCCACCCGCTCGACCCGCTGACGATCCGGGAGCTCAACAGAGTTCGCGAGGTGGTGAAATCGTACGGCCCCTTCAAGAACAGCCCCTACGCTCTCCACTATGTCACTCTGGGAGAGCCCGAGAAGCAGGCCGTCCTGGGCTGGAAAACGGGCGACCCTCTTCCGCCTCGGCAGGCGTCGGTGCTCGCCCGTGCTGCCGGAAAGTCGTACGAGCTCACCGTCGATCTCCTTACCGGCGATGTCACCACTCATGAAACGGGTCCTCATTTCGGGTCCCCCATGTTGACCATGGAGGATATGGTGGCTGCTGCCGTGGCACCCTTGGCCAGCGCCGAATTCAACCGTACGATCACGCAACGTGGCGTCGATCTGACCGACCTTGCGTGTTTGCCTCTATCTTCAGGCTGGTTCGGTAAATGCATTGCTCTCCACAATAAATACATACCCTTAAAAACAACCCAAACTTTCAATTATTAGTCGCAAGGTTGACTAGGACAGAAGGATTACATAAGGCGTCAAATAGGCATTTGAACTAGTTTAAAGTGTTCAATTAGCCCCTTATATAAGAGATTCAGCCTGGCCATCGTCAATTGGGGAGGTTCCCGGTGGAATTTTTTGATGAATTTTTTTGAGTATCTTCTTCATTAAGTCTAGTTTACTCATACCACCAAATTTAAGCTAAAAATTCATCCGGGAAGGCAGTCAATGATTTTTTGAAGATAAATGCACTGTTAAACAGTGCAATACATTTCGGAAAATCATTTGACTGCCTTCCCGATTTATTTTTTAGCTGAAATTTGATATGTGTAAACTAGACTTAATGAAGAAGATGCTCAAAAAATTTCATCAAAAAATTCCACCGGGAACCTCCTCAATTGGCGATGACCGGGCTGAACCTCCTATATAAGGGGCTAATTGAACACTTTAAGCTAGTTCAATGGCCTATTTGACTCTTTAGCCATTACATAACTTACCTATCTTATTAAGATTATTATTTTATCTTTTTTTTTCTGGTCCCATTTTTTCGTAGCAAATTTGATAAAATTTGTACTCCGTATGATTCTAAAAAATTGTTATTTATTCTGATTTCATCGATTCAATGAATATCAATAGTTCTTGGTAATAAGATGTAACATGAACCAATGAATATATTTGAGGGTACAATACTACTCTTATTTATTTTTCTGTCTCATTAAAACATTCATCATCATTGAAAACATCTTCAAAGAATTACATAAATTATAGGCTTAATCAGTCCAAAATCCAAAAACAGCTGAGGGCTATCTAATAGATTTGTTTGACCTAATAAAACAACAAAAACTGTTAAACTCTCGTCTAATTTCAAATCATTTTTATTTGGAAAAAATTACAAATATATTACTTTTGCATTTAAGATAGATACTCAAATAAGTGATTAATCTTCGTTTAATTAATTTTTTAATTCTAATTTCTATTTAAAAATAGTTGTTATCAAATGGGATCCAATGATGTTTTTATTTGCACGTATTTCACTTCAAGATCACATCAGACCTGAAGATATCAGATCAGACATAAAGAGATTAAAATGAAACAGACCAGAATTGACAGATCCGATCAGACTTTAACAGTTTTAAAATACATAGAAATTAAAGATTCTAGCAAAGTAGACCAGTTCAGAGTTGATCAAACTAAATTTAAACAAATCAAATCAGAAAATTTGAATTCTAAATTAAACTCGGTATGGTCTTAGGAGTCCAAACAAGTATTGATTTGGGAGGGTGTATGGATGGGGTGAAATATGATGATATTAGAACATTAATTATTAGTTAATAGTAATTGCTACATACTTGGTTTGATTAAAATGATGATGTTGATTATGTTAGAACGCAAAATTGAGGATAAGAGGAGACTGATGAAGATACAGTGCTTCAGCAACAAGGGAACTGCGAATTTCTACATGAGACCCATCGAGGGATTGACAGTGTTGATCGATTTAGACACCAAAGAGGTGATTGACATATCAGACGAAGGGAAGAGCATCCCGATTCCCAAGGCCGCCAACACAGACTATCGCTACTCCGCACTACCTCACAATAAGAAGAGCAGCAGCTGGTCTCCCAACCCAATTTCCACGGAGCAACCAATGGGTCCGAGTTTCACCGTGGACGGGCATTTGGTGAGGTGGGCGAATTGGGAGTTTCACCTCAAACCCGATTCCAGAGCGGGCTTGATCATATCCCGGGCTATGATCCGTGACTCCGACACCGGGGAAATGAGGAGCGTCTTGTACAAAGGGTTCGCTTCCGAGTTGTTCGTTCCCTATATGGATCCGAGTGATGCCTGGTACTTCAAGACATACATGGATGCTGGGGAATACGGGTTCGGGCTCCAGTCCATGCCGCTTGACCCGTTGAATGATTGCCCCAGGAATGCCCATTACATGGACGCCGTCTTTAACGCCGCCGACGGAACGCCCTACGTCAGATCCAATATGATATGTGTCTTCGAAAGCTACACCGGCGATGTTGCTTGGCGACACTCTGAGTGCCCCATCAGTGGCATGGACGTACGTAATCTACCTACACATAGTCATGTGCCTGGGTCGGCCCGGTCCCGGTTTCGGGCCGAAACCGCTCGGTCTATGCCAAGATTCTTAGAAAACCGAGTCCGACCTGACTATTTCCGGTTTCGTATACCAGGTCGGCCCGGTCTCGGGTCCATTACTTTTTTTTGCTTTGCCCGATTCCAAGGGATTGGTTAAGATCTGGTCAAACTACTACAGAGGATAGGCCCGACTCCAACCGTTCCATGGCTGAAACATAAAAAAAACTCACATGTCACGACCGAAACAGGGAAAGGAACCCAGAGCCGGGTATCATATACATCCGGTCGGGTACTCGTCCGGAACCGGAAAAATGAACTCATTCAGCTCAACACATATATGAAATATATATAAAAAATAGTTAAAATGGTCTTATATTGAAAAGCCCAATTTTATTGAAAAGAACTTAAATAATTTTGGGATAAAGTAATGGTATTAAAACATGAGCTTACGAAGAATTGATTGAAATTTGGTGGCAGATTAGAGAGGTACGGCCGAAGGTGACGTTAGTGGCGCGGATGGTTGCATCGGTGGCCAATTATGATTACATAGTGGACTGGGAGTTCCAAAGTGACGGGCTAATCAGAGTTAAGGTTAGTGCTCCAATTCATTATGTGAAGTGAAGTTGTTTATAACATTAATTAATAAATTAGTGGTACTAATTGTGTGAGTGAGGCGAAATGTGAATTATGATCCATCGACTCCCAGACAAAATATTTGTGATTCGTCCGATGTTTTGGACGGGCTTGAAAAGTGTTGCACCTGGTCACTGTCGCCTCCTTGCTAGTTGAAACTCCATTTTATTTTCATTTGAATTCTTTTTCGTGCCGTGATGATAAGGTCGACTGTGACACCAATTATATCGTCCTTCGCACTACCCGACTACATTTGATGATTGAATGTCGAATAATATCCATGATGGAAGGGGTTCAATTTTTATCAAATATACCGATTGTTTTGTTGAAGGTTGAATTAAACCATGCCTCTTTAAGAGACATATGAGAGCTTTGAAACTTTTACCGGCCACACAAGCCTTATCACTTCCACCTAAACAAACCTTACAGAAAATAGTTCCAAAACTAAGACACCTACCGCTATTATTATTTAAATAATAAAGAAATTTAAATAAGAGCAATAAACGTAATCTCTCTTGTGACCTCAATTTGGAATTGGAATCCATGGTGGAGGTTCAGGAGGAGGGCGGATTACCCCTGCTGTTTCTCCAACTGCAGCTACTCTTCGTCATTATCATAGACCCCTTCTAGTTCAAAGCAAACATATGATCCCCTTTCCTGCTCCAAGAATAGCCCCCTGCAGTGGCGGATCTAGAATTAAAGCTTATTGGGGGCAGCAGGGTATTAAACAAATATAATGTGTCAAAAAAAATTAAAGCATTAATATAATATTACAATAACAAAAGTTTTAACAAAATACATGACAAAATTCGCGCCGAGCTAGCTAGTTTTCATCTTTCGAAAGATATCTATTACAGTTTCATTTGTAACATTTCGGGGGAAGTCATGATCTCGCGGTTGACAAGGTCCTTTAATCAAGTATTTTATCTTGATTTTATCTATTTGTTTACAAGATTTCCTTAAAACTTTCTCCTTTTGGCGAGATCTGAGGGAAGCTCATCTAAACCGACTTTTTAGATATTGATAGAGAACATTGAGAAGCACTATTAGAAACATTACTATTTGAACTATCAGGTTTTGGTGAAAGAACGGTAGCTCAATATATCTTCTTTGAGTCTAGATTGAAAAGAAGTGAAATTCAGATTACGCTTTTTTGGTACATTATTCATTTTAATTAACTACCTAAAATAATATATTATACGATTTTTAACTTACTACCACATCCATCCCTCTAATACTGTGACAAAAGAGAGTGATGCGATTTTTAAGAAAAATGGAATTATGTGGTTGATAATGAATTGATAAAATGAAAATTAGGTACGAATCAATTAGAACCACACAAATCTTACTAAATATGATATGAGACAAATTTAGTGGGATGAATGGAACAATTATAGTGGGTTGGAGGGAGTACATCACATTTTCTATTTTCTAATAGTGTAAACATTACACCAAGTTAAGTCAATAACATTAAATCTAGTCGATCCTCTTAAAAAATTTATATCAATTGATGTAAATATATACTCCTATAATACATTAATAACATTATAATATTCATATGTATGCAAAAGTTAAAGATATGATAATGTATGATCTTAAACAAGTAAACAATATAGTAACCACATACGGAGGATCTGAGGATTGAAGTCATTGAACAACTAAACAAGTACTCCGTATCAGTTAGCTAGGCCAACACTCGAATATCAAATTTATTAATTTAAATGGTAAAAAATACTCCATAAACATAAAGTGAAGAGGTTTATACTTTTATATCCATTATTGAAACCTTTAAGGTGTGCGGCTAACATGCCTCTCGGAGTATTGGGGGCAATCCATTTATTTTGATGGGGACAAAATGCTTGAACTACTAATATTAGTAAAGAAAATAATGAATTTAGTGTGCCTTTATTGGGGGCAGCTGCCCCCCA